TGGGTATTCCATTTCCCTTTGCACAGGTAGTAGGACAGAAGTTGCATTTTAATACACAAAACACCTGATCCATGCAACCAAACAGCATCTCTGTCCCATTGATTTCAAGTAGAGTGACATCCTCTAGAAAAATAAATTATGAAACACTAAGATTTGCTGTCTGACACTGGATTTACTTTGTGAAACAATGAAAATTCAAGTGACAGGAAAGAGAGAAATTAAACATAGACAGAGAGTAGTAGTTTTACCCCAAATCAGCAAAATCCCTTTTTAACATCTTGAAAGAAACCTACCTGTTAATAAGATCAACAGATTTTTAATCAAGATAATTACCCTCACATATCTTTTCCTTAAGTGTTTAAGAAGAAACATCTTAAGCTCCCCTTGCCTTTACTACTTCTAAAGCTTCAAACTGTAAGCAAAGAAACAGACTGTGTTGTGAATTGCAATCCTGTTGCCTCATGTGAAAGGCTTTCCTATTTGCATTGCAGAAAAGACTTTTTTCTCCCTAAAATTATCTGTGCGTTTAAAGATTGGGGTGAAAAAGCATCTATTACTCTCAACATTTCACTAGAAACCATCTGGCTTTACTTTTAGTTCAGCTGCTGCCTCTGTTTTCCTCTATTTGCTGCAGACCTGCAGAGGCTGACAGGAAGGAGCAATAGTTTTCCGTCTGTGAGCAAAGCATGGAGGAGAAAGGGAGTCATCTGTGAAGGCTGGAATACTTCAGTGCCCCAAAGGCATTGGTCTGAGATAGTGCATAGGCAAGTAGTAACTTTGCCAGCTGAAGAATAATTGAAGGGAAGTATTTAATAGGTCTGTCTGGACCTGAGCGAGTGTCAAAGTCTTTTTGACAGATGAAGTCAGGAATATGAATGCAATCAGGAAACTATGCAACATTTTCAACTTAATATTGACCAAGTATGGACTTTTGAATAGAAAATTCCCAACCAGTCACCATATGAGAACAATGTGACTGAAGTTATTAGTCCTAACACAGGCCTTCAACAGACATCCTAAGAGAAATAGGCTTTTTATCCCTAAAACAAGTGTTCAAAGGATCAAATAATCATTGTCACTAAGAGTCAAACAATGGTTATGAGTAGGGGGAAAAAATGGAGAGAAGTTCCTTAATGCCTCAACATCATGCAAACCTCAGTCACAAGCACTGGCTCTTACAAAACCAGTGAGCTAACCGAGTACATTTCTCTGTCACCTCTAAGGCAGGAATCCAGCTCTGTCTCTGAAGGATTTTAAGTTCTGATAGTGTTTCTGCAACTGGGACTGTAAAGTGGAGGGGAAGGTCAATTCTACGACACACCATGGCATGTTAGCTCACAAAAAGAGTATCTCAAACCAATTCTCTACCCCTTCTGAATAATATATTATTTAGGTTGCATAAAAAAAAAAAAAAAAAAAAAAAAAAAGCCAGATAGAAATTGAGCTTCGGAACAGAACTAAGTTCCTCAGCACAGCAAACACTGACTGGATGTTAGGGCAAAGGTGCAGGAAGTGAAGTTTTTGTAATGCAAACATTTAATGGTTTCTTTTTGAAGATACATACAACTAAATCTGCTCTTAAGCCAAGGAACTGTGAATTCCAAGCCTGGATTTTGCTACAGATAATCACCCTCTATTGCCATAATTATCCTGCAAAACTTCAGCTTTCATTTAGGAAAAAACATCTCCCTAAACACAAATACCAGCAGAGATGAACTTGGAAACAACCTAGGTGTGATCTCACAAAGTTTTAACTGAAGAGGTTGCAAACCTGAAACTACACCAAACATCCCCCCCATGTAATTATCTGAAGAGAACCATGCAATGTAGAAATTTGTCATGGACCTTGAGATTTTGTTAAAGCCGAATATTTTGGTTTCCTTCCCCCTTCCTGCTCTGCCAGGACCTGCCTACAAGTCCTTTCCATTCCTGTTTTGCCAGCAGTGAGGAGTTCGTTGGCATAGGTGCAGGAAACAAGAACTGGACTCCAACTTGTAATCATGGAGTCTGCAGAATCAAAGTAATGCAATGAAAGAAGAGCCTAGCAGCTGGATCAACTGCCTAAACGACATAAGGAAGAAAATCTCTGCAAATCATCCATAAATCTTACAAGCTGACATACTTTCAGCACCAAAATACCTAAAAAAGACCATTTGTCTTATTAGGTTTAAATAAAAATATTTACATTTTATGAATCAAATGAGGATTTATTAAGATTTATACATTGATTTAGACCACAAAGTCTATTATTACCAGTGAGTTTTATTCATCTATAATTTCACTAGAGACCCTCATTTTACTAGGTATCTTCCCGGTAGTAAAGGTGATACTGAATCTTCATGGAAAGTCATTTTGCTACACAAACGGACACTTACATTCTCTCTGCTGGTTTATAAGTTTAACAGTGAGAACTACAGGTGAAGTTCAGGTGGGCACATCAGGGAACTGAGCTGTGGGCAATTACTGTTACATTTTCATAATCTCTTTTAAAGTTTTTTCTGCTCAGCACAGAACAGACACGAGTAAGTACAGTAACTATGCAAGAGCAAAACCTGAGAGAAAGAAGAGATCCAACAAAAAAGGGAGGCCACTATCTGACATTTTAAAAGGGCAAATCGAAAGCAATCAACACTCAACAAAATGCTCAATGTAGGATGAGGTGATAGCTTAGGATATACTTAGGATACCGTAATGAGGCTACCAAGTGCTGTGTGTTTTAATGTAAATTAACACAAGATAATCTCTTCACATATTTAAGTGATGCACTTCAAATTAATTAATACATATTTAATAGAAGTCTTCTTGAACAGCTGTTATTTACTTCTGGAGTTTCTACACATTAGCACTGCCTGCTTTGTTCTGCTCTGAAGTTGTTCATGCTCCAAAGTACTTTAACAACTTGGGCTGTATAAAAATTGAACGCTCTTCCCAAAAGAGACAGCCTTTCTGATAACTTAATATTTTTACATTAAATATTCAAACACTTTCTGAACAAAAGGTCAAATTCTACTTACAGCATCTGTGTGAAACAGGCAAGCAGATGCTTAATGCTGCTAGACAAATACTTTCGACACAAAGAATGATAAAGAGTTGGCGATCAGTCACATTTCCAGGCTTTAAAAATCAGCTTTTCTTTACTTCCATTCCCTGAATTCTGCACTTACCATTCATATGTAACAATACAGACCCAAATTATGGCCTGTTCCTTCCATAAGTGTTACAAAATGGTGTGTTGAATGAAATCGTGACAGTGAACGTGCTCTTTCCAGTATTCACTGCATGTTATGAGTATTACACCAAGTCCTTAGTGTTTTTGTCTTAAAGACTACTGGGTATAACATTACTTCATTTAGACCTTGCATACAGCATTAAAGTAGTTCTCACCACCTCTTTCATTCAGAGGAAAACCCATTTGAATTCCAGTCACTTTTTAGGATGCGAATGAGTAGAAACCAATTCAAGAAAGATGCTAGTAACACATTATATTTTCACACTCACAGTGATGAATGTGACTTTTGGCAACTGTAATCAGTTTCTTTATACATCACTGAGCAATCCTTATCAGTGTATCAGTTCTAGTTTTCAGGTGACTACTTGAAGGTGTTTACTTTTTTTTATGGCACTAGAGCACTGGCTACTGATTATTGCTTATGTGCCAGCCTTTCTAGCTTACAGGTTTACTGAAAATAACTTTCAAAGTTGGTAACAACTGTATTAGAAAATAGCTGTTGGGACAACCATCATTAAACCTTCTGTGCAATGATGTATGGAAATATATGCAACTTGTGAAAGGCCTGAAAACAGTCCTAAATACACAAAGGTGAAAAATATGTCCTGATTCAGGCACACTGATACTACTGATACCAAAATTATTATTTTTTTTTTAATTTAATATGATGTTTTTCATAATAAAGAGGACATAAGACAGAACTCATTATTCAGGCTAAGAACTTAAAGACTAAACCAGATCAATGCTTTACCATTAAATATACTGTGAGTGAATGAGTGTGTAGAAGACAGATTTAGAAAGCATCTTCACAATCCTCAAATAATTCTGCACTGCCTTGGAATTTGAGCTGCAGATGCAAGGAATGAGGAAGATGACCTAAATTCCCCATAAACAACACCCCCACCCCTGCCCCAAGTGTGGCTGGTACAAGACTGGGTTAGCTTTCAGCTAGAACCATTTCTTGATCCCTATGAGGCCACACATATGCTCCTGCCGGCACAAGAGAAATGGTGGGGACAAGTGGCTGGGACATAACTGTTGGTTTTGATGGAAGTCCAAACACATGGCAGATTAAAATGTGTGTGAAAATGTGGACTTCTGAAAAAGTAGTGCTGACACAATAAAAAGGCACCTGAAAGGGTTTCTATGCACTGAAACTCCATCAGTATATTCAGGAGGAAAAGGGAGCCAAGCAAAATGCCAAGGTTGTCACAGGGTCTGAAGAATCTCTTTTCCAGGTCAGCACACCAAAGACATTTCACTGCTTTGATAGGAGTCATGTGAGAAGCAGACTAGTCCAGAAAAAAAGAAATGTGAGAAGACTTGAGCTCATGCTGTGATGTTCTAGAATCATCATTATGTTAATGAAACTAAATTTCTTGAAAATCTCTTTGCCTTTGGAAGGAGGATGTATCTTTTGTCCAGAGAAGCACAGGCACTCTGCCAGCTGACACCAAAAAATGTGGTTCTATACTTGCTTTGATATCTACAATATAGCTTTAATTACCATAATCAGAATCCTGATGCATAGATGTCAAGGAGACACAGAGACAGAGACAGATCCCAAGGATAAACTTGGCTCCTATTCCCAAGGAATGAAAACATATGCCCACATTTTATACAGCCATGACATAACAGATATTCTTTGGGTTATTTTAAACTTTCTTAGAGCTAAAAGATCAAATTCAAGGGGAATCTCTTACAACATACACAATGAGACTGTCATATTTTTCCTCTACATTTTACAGGAAAAATGAAAATCTGTGTTTACCTGTCAGCTTTAGTAGAAAGGTTTCCATCATAAGTACACCTTGTTTATTGGAAGGAACCTGGCATTTTTTAACATCACTAATACTAGTCTGGAGAGGTACAGAGTTGTATGAGTTTGCTGAAAAATAACAATAAACCTTTATTAAAATTTCCAATTTTTGCAAAAACATTTGGACTAAATTCCAACTCTACTTAAAATGTAATTAAATATTTACATTTATTCTCTAATAAGTATTGTAAGTAAATCAATTTCCCAAGTATCTTAAATTTTTGCATGGTATACAATTACTACATTTTTGTAATAAATGCACAATTCTAATGAAAAAATAATGATCTTGAACTTTAATAGAGCCCTTCATTTGAGATGAAAGTGCTGTATCTTCATTCATTTATTATATCTTACAACCCCTGTGTGATGTAGGTACTATTATCATCATTTTACAGATGGGGAAATTGAGAGGCTAATTAACTTGTCCAATTTACAATACTCTTAGCTGTAAACCTAGGGCATCCTATTGTACTCACAGGCAAAACAAAACTCAGCTCACCTGTGATGAATATTTACTACAAATTCTTAAACTCCATAAGCATTTTACTTATAGGGGAGAATATATTACACAAGCCTTTGGAGAGTTGGTTTCGCACTGATGATGGCTTTGAGGGCCACAGAAATGTGCTGCCTAGAAAGAAACATCAGAGCACCAGTTTATTTTAGTGTCATCATGTTTCCCAGCTAGTTATGGAGATGATGTGCATTTTCATTTAATGTTATTAGGCATTCAAGCACACATTTGTGCTTTAATTCTGTATGATGTATGACACTGCACTTATACACACACAAAAAAATACTGTTTGCTGACAAACTCATTCTCTCAGTTTACATATGTGTTCCATAAATTTCTTTACTCTGTCAGGATCAACACCATTTGCCCAATAACCTTCTTTCTTGAAATACGAACCAATTATTAGAGCGTTTGCATCCAAGTAATTCCTCATATTCTCCAAAGTCACCCCAGACCCAATCAGCACAGGAATCTTCACAGCATGTTTAACCTCTGAAGAGAAGAAAACCAAAATTAGGGTTAAGTCCCATCTTTGAAACTCTATCAAGACTCTAGTTTGTGTAGTTTTTTCAACAGCAAAGAGAAGTAAACTCATGATCATGGTATTTCTTACTTCTACTATAGAATGAAACAACTCCTCTAGAAAAAAACACCTTTAGCTCTGAACAGCTGTTAAGAAAAATCTCACTTTTATTTCATTTTGCGTTCTGTTGTTGTATGAAATGGTGCAGAATAATATTCCTGACCACATATCAGAGGATGGTTTCCATGCTATGGAAGATATGAAAGTTGGGTCTTGGTACTACACCTGTACCCATCTTTATTCTCAAGGAACAAGATTTAAGCAAGATTTAGTTCAGCTGGCTGGCAGAGAACTTACTGCATTTTACTATACTCCATCAAAATCACTTTTATTCCACATCCCTGCTAAGAAGAGATAGTAGATGCAAGAAATTTTTGCACAGCAGGACCAGACCCTTTTACTTACTGTGACTGCTATCATCACCCTTCGAGGCTCCGTTGTGCTCGAGGCACTACACATACACGGGAAGGAGCTATCATTTACTAGTGTGCTGCAGTAGCACCCAGTATAGATTCCAGTTCCATTGCCTTGAGAAGGATTTACTGATGTTGGTGGGACCATGTGGGCCACCATGCCCCATCCAGAGTTTTAACTGTGTTCTCCATTTCCCTCACCTTAAGATGAGAATAATCACCTCCCCCAATCTTTCCATGAAGTAATCAAAATACAGCTACAAGAATAAGATGCCAATCTTGTTTCCATTCATTGGAAGCTCAGATTCTTTTCTGCGAGTCTGGTGAGATCATTACACTGGCAGAACTATTCAGCAGAGCTGTGCTCATTACAATTCTTCAGTCATCAGTTTAAATCAGAATAACGGTAGTTGGACTGGTGTGTATTTCTGCCAGGTCTCCTTGCTGAATTTATGCGATGTTGACAATTAGTAGAAGATCTTCAGTGAAGAAACAACAACAAGGGCCTTATTCATAGGGAATGGAAGAGGAATGTGCTCACTGCTTCATGATCAATTTCCAGGACTCAGAAGTAGGAAAGTAAGTGGTGGTCATACAGACTCCATTGATAGCTCCAGCTAGTTTACCAGAAAGCAAAAGATAGTACTGATAAAGACTACTTCTCTATGAATGGCAATGGAGCAAAAAGGACATTATTTTCTATATAGAGTATGTATTACTTAATTATCTGACCCTATACCTAGGTCCAAAATGAGAAATAGACAAAATATCAAAACAGGCCTCAAAATATTACAGATCCACTTCACCCCTCACGTACAAGGTGGATTTCAGTCCATGGTTCAGGTGACCAGATTCACTGTGAAATGCATGCATTCTGACCAACCTGACTGTGCAGAAACTGATCTGTGGATCAGTTAGAATTTAATTTTTTTAGAATAAAACCAAAAGGGAATGGCTGTTTTGACAACATAAAGGTTCCCCATGGATAAATAAAGAGGTTATTAGAGTATTTTCTACAGAACTTGGGTCAATACTATCTCTGGAAAACAGAAAATTAAAAATCCCTGTTCAAGAATTACTAAGCATTCTCATCCTTTCATTTCAAACTGACCATCCTAAGAGTTACTCACAGGACTCCTTTCTTTAGAGAAATGTTGAGGCATTATTTCTGACCTTTAAAAACACAGAAATTGATTTAATTGGTGATAAAGTGATGTAAAATGGTTAGAGCTTGAAGTAACTAGGGAAAGCATATATGCAACATATAAGTCTGCTTCAAAACACTGTTTAAGTGAAGTTTCATCAGAAGCCTAACTTATTAATTATGCTTCAGGGAAGACTAATTATTTATCACCTTCCTGCTTCACTGAAGAAAGGGGATCACTTAAAATGCTCTTGAATCCCTTTTTAGGTCACATGTCCTACCATTTTTCTTACAAATATTTTAACATAAAAATAACCATTCCACACAGTCCTTATTGAAAATTTTAAGCAAATCAGATGGATCATGCATAACTATAGTTATTTCTATGCATATTTTACATTCTTACATTCATCCTGCTTACAGCAACAAAATAATTCATTCTTAGTTATTTATAGCATTATTACTGAAATACTGTTCTAGAAAAATCAGAATTTTATTTATATAGTATCTACGTGCTCTTAGAAATATCATATCTGCTTTACATAGATACCAATGCATAATTAAGGTGCTACGACTGACCGCAGCTTTGTGCAACAGTACTTTACTGTATTCCCAGAAGAACTGCACTCCCAAGTCAATATTTGTTTTTATGACAAGCGTGTAAGGCACATTAGCAGGTACTTGTTCTATAATTATTTCACATCAGCAGGAAAAGTAAAGAGCCAAATAACTAAACAGAGCATGACCACATGGGTGTGAGACAATGGCTTAGCCCTACCAGGCAAAGAGTAAAAACCAGTGAAACCGGAGACTGGCTGTGAAACTATAAAACACCCCAAAGCTTTCGAGAGTAGCAAGGTAACCAACTCCTGCTGTGATCCATAAATGACACATGAAGCCCATACACACATCTCCTGTGCTGGAGATGTATTCAGATTGACAATGTGAAGAATGGCAATGAGACTGGGTTATCTAATTAGGTATGCTACAGATGCTACTTTTAAGTCATTTCCAAGCACATCAAGTTCTCAAGTTGATTAGTAGAAGGTGACTTGTCTATTAGCTGTGTTAATAGAAATTCTAACTTGTAAAGAAACTAAAGCAACAACAGGGAGATATGCTTTTGCATGGCAACATTCAGTCATTGTCAAGATGTCTCTAAACACAGAGCTTTGCTTTAAATCCCTCAGCCTTCTTGGCTTCCCTGCTTACGTATTTTTTGACACAGAGAAAAAGAGACAATTCTGTGATGTTACAGTAACAAGATCCTAAAGTTTACCCAACTCACACATTTCTCTATTTCAATAAACTGTAACTAGAGGGCACTGTGCTCTTTCTTGTGACAGTACATCTGCAGACACGTCTTTAATAAAATCAAACGAAATAGTGCTTGGTTGCAAAGCACAATGAAAGCATTTGAACTATGGTATACACAAGTTATATGAAATAAAGGCTCCTAGCTTGAAAACAATGGTGAAGAGCAGCGCAAAAATAAGCACCACTGTGCCAATAACTTGCTCGACCACTCTTCAACAGCTTTTTCATATGCAGTAATCACTGTACCGTACACAACACTATGCTTACGGTAACGCTCCACTGTAACACATTTTAGTTTTTTAATTCAGAGGACCTTTTCTCTGTCATTAATTCTAAGGTTTACAAAAAATACTCACCGGAGACTCACATCTCTCGTTATCTCCAAGGGTACTGCAAAGGCAGTAGCCTCTATTTTGACCTAAATGTATCATCAAAAGGTGAGAGGGTAAATCAGTCTTGACACCCCTTTTATGAACAGTAACTAAGGAGGTAACAGTCACAGCCAGCTGTTGGGTTTCATGATGTACCCTGTTTTCCACTGGTTACTCAGCTGAGGCCATTTGCTTTGTTCACACAGATAACTAAGCAGTCATTACATAAAGCTTTGGTCACTTAAAATACAGCCTGGATGTGAAGCAGGTATTTCAACAGTTACAACCAAACAGAAAACCTGGTAGATTCACTCTCCAACCAAAGAATGTTTCACAGTGTAGCAAACTGAAGAAACTTCTATAAACCTCTTAAATGAAAATATCGCTTGTTAAATAAATTTACTGTAGTTCAAAATGCTCAGCTATAATTCCTGTTCCACAGTAACCTGAAGTCTGAGTTTTAGACCTTGTACTCTGTCAACCACTGGTGCCCCAGTATGCCCAGGGAGCCCCAGACCAAAGCCTGCCAGCCTCTGTAAGGAGCGATGCTGACGGTTGCCTATGAGAAGGCAGACGCACAAACTACAAACAAAACTCTACTGAACACGGTTCTCTGGCTTGACAGGGGAACATTCGTTTTCTACACCCCATCACAAATCAGTCAATTCAAGACAAAGACACAAAGGCAAAAACACTTCTATATTACTGCACCACAAAGCTGAAAAAAAGACATGACAAAAATCTCATCTGTCTCTTGGTTCTGCTTTCAAGAGATGCTCCGCAGTGTGATGAAAGGTGCCCAATTGTGTGTATCATCGTAATACAGCACTTCCAGGGCTGCATAAATTCGTGAAATGCAAAATTTCACTCACATCAACACCAACTTTGTAGACTGTAGATCTGATTCCTTTTAAGAATCTGTTGACATATATATGCCTAATTTGTCATTTCCTTATACTCTGGAATATTGATTCTTAAATTATTCTCTTAGCTGTTTTAAACCAACATTCTTCTCACGAGAGGGCCTGCTAACATCAAAAATGCTGCGACCTAAGTAAAATAAACCCATGATCTGCAGACTCTTGCTTTCATAGCACAAATCCAAACACAAAATTAATGCATGTACTTCATTACAGCCGCCAACTCTGATTCATTTTGTTCTTTGGACCCAGAAAGAGAACAAGACAGAGACTGACATGTTTGTTCACATGAAAGAAAAGCAGAAGCCACGGTGCTGTCTGGTTGGAGTCCTGTGATAAAAAAAACATGGGTCTAGAGGTCAGGTTTTGCTCTCTGATGCAGGAAATCAGTGGAGGTTGCACGTGCATATGTGAAAGCAGAATTTAACCTAGGATTTTGCCCTAAGACTTATCAAATACTTATCAAATGCTTTTTGCCCTTTTTTTTTTTTTTTCCCCATTATTTAATCTGCATTAAGAGTGATGAGGACATTAATTGCAGGTAGGGATGGAGCTTTAGATTAATGAAATTTTGCAGTGTCTAAAATATACCTAGCTTTCAGGGTCACCTATTTCATGTATCATTTCTAGTTTACTATACCGAAAGACTCAACTAATTTGAGAGCTCTGTGTTCACATCAAGCCATCATTTTCTTTTTAACATTAGTGATAGAAGCATAGTCATTTATAACATATTATTTGGCAAAAAGCTTAATATGTATGAAATAAGAACCCATTTTGACAAGTTCAAGATTCATTTTAAATACTGTTAAGCACATACAATATAGATAAAATCCTGAAAATAGTGAATTATTTCATGTTATTTCAAAAGATATTTGAGGTCCAGGTTATCTATGGCAAGCAAATTATGTTCTTCACCCTGATCAGCTAACGTACGTTGAATACAATACACTCTGCAATGGAGCTTCAATACATGCTAAGATAAATAATGCATGTCTGCAAAAGTAAAACCTAAAAAAATACACGTTCTATTTTATGTAGTGAGAGCCTCAAATTCAAGTCCTTAATCTAAATTAAAACTAGTGATGAAAATTAAATACCCTCATGATAGAACTTTAATTCTAGCATGGGAGCAATCCAGTTTCATGAAGACAGCCCAAACTTATGCCAGTATAAAAATATGAAGACTCATGTAACGCTTTTGCAAAGGTCAGAACTCATAGGTCAAATGATGCTCCCTTGATAAAAAGTCCATACCATTTAAAAATTACCTTGATGTAATAGCTTGCTACCTACCAATGAACTTGTATTCTTTCTGAACATCTTTTAAGTAGTACTTACCCTGATATTACTGTTTGGAATACTGCCTTATCAAAATGCTCCTTTTCCTGCAGGACTTCCATTTTCATTGTGAAAGATAAAAATGCTTAACTCTTCATTGGAAAGATTTATAGTTAGTTTTCTAATAAGGCTACAAAGTAGCTTTTTCTTATATTAAAAATTTTTAGATATGGAAGATTAATCTTTTTACATAATTTTACATCCTTTTTTTTTTTTTTTTTCATTTAAGCCTCAGCATCATTCAGTGTTTTAAAAGTTTGAAATAATTTTCTTTTTTGTCCCGCCAAATTGTTGTTTGGAAACATCTGAATAGAACCTCAATGACATTAGTTCTGTATCAAATCAAACCCTACAGTGAGAGTTTCTTTTCCTTCCTCTTTTTTTCCCTTAAGGAAGAGCAGACATATAGATTTCTTTCTACATTAATCCAGAAGCTGATTCACTGCCTGTTGCCCGACCTTCGTATGACAGCTCTCACCTTTCAGCTCCCGAGGATCTGCGGGCAATCCAGTAGCCGTGCCAGTCAGTACAACCCCATCAGCCATGAAGAGCTCGGCAGCTGAAGCGGTCTCGGCCACGCTGACATCTGCCGTCAGAGCGTGAGCACTGTAAACAGCAGGAACGTACCCTGTGGTTACTGCCAGCACACACATTTGTTATCCATCTTGTTGAATGTTTAGACTGCATTTCTTCATCTTCCCGCTGTCAGAACAACCAAAGGCAGGCTTTGTGAGAGAGGGTAAGTGTCCTGTTTTAAATTGGGAAGTAACACTGCAATACGAACAAGAGGAAAAAACCCAGCCTTTTCCATCAGGGAACCATAACTATTGCTCTGGATCTCCTGTCTCTAAAGAGTGATTGCCAAGTGTGAACTACCAAGTGTCAATTGAGACAGCTGCTTACGTGTCGAGCACCTGTATTTCAGAAACGTTGAGCACACGCAGCTCTCTGACTTCAAGTGGGAGTTGTGGATGTGCAGTCATTCATAAATCAGATTCTCTTGCCTAGAACAGAATTAACACCCTCCATATCATTTCACAAAGTCCAACTAACAAAGTATAGTTATTACCTATGATATAATCACAGGAATCATCTTACAAAGCAGTTACAAACATCAATTACCTGCAACCTAGCTTTTCACTAGCGGTCTCTGATATACGGGTGACACACTTTGAAACCTACAGCAATAGCAGCTTTTAATTTAAATGGCTCTACACTTTGAAAGAATTCCGGCCATTGCAGGTTCAACACCTGACTTTATTGTTTCTATACTTCTATTTAAGTAGAAAACAATGGCTATGGCCAACATGCTGCCTTGATGAGTGCTGATGGAGCCAACTGCTTTCCTGGATCAGCCTGGCTGGACAATGCTCTTGGAGGGGGCCATGCTCTGGCCACATTCAGAGGCAGCACATGTGTGCATTGTATGCCACTTGTGGCAATGGATGCAAAAGGAAGTACAGCAACTCCCTTTCTGCAGCTGGAGACAGGCAGGCCTAAATACCTAATACATACAGTGAGGTTAAAATGGGGCTTAAGGCACCCTAAAAGCAGCACATGAAGGGTAGCCGTAACAGAGCAAGCAGAGTGTGGAAGTAGTTTCTTCCCGTTTTAAAGAACTGGAAGTTAGCAGCAAAGTGGCAGGCATATTTTTCTAATTAAACAAACTCAACCAACAATCCCCTCAACATTTACTTCTCAGCTTATGAAACTGCCTGAAACAAAAAACTCTCCTCCTTTCTTAAAAGCAAACCATTTGAACAACAGGAAGTATAATCCAAATATCAATTCATCAATTGTCAAGACAATCACATGACGCAATCAATTTTTTTTACAAAAAAAGTCTAGTGGTATGTATCACACACACACACACACACACACACACACACATATATTTAAAGAAATCATTAGAAAGGAACCACTCTGATAGGACCTTAAAAGTTTCATTTGACCATGCTGCATTGTTTCCTTTCCATTTTGAAACTTCTGACCTATTTATTAGGTATTTAAGATCTTCCAGACTTGGTTATTCTCATGATTACCCACATACTACACACAAACTTTTTAATTAGGTTATTTAGCATGTATAATACATAACACTTGAGCAGTTCTTCTGGGGAAAAAAAACCAAAGAGTGACATCTAAATAGCTGAAAGTACCATGTGAGTGATGATAAAGTATCAGCAGAAAAGAAATTGTATTCATCTGTCATAAGTTCATTCTGTTTGATAATCATAGAACATAATCTGTACATAGACAGCACTGATTTAAGTAGAAGAAAACACTATTATTGGCAGGAAGGGGAAAAAAGAGAATAGCTTTTTTAAATGCCAAAGTATTGTGATTTGGATGCATTTATATGGCAACTACTTGCATAACTAAAAATAAACCTTGATGCCTAGCCTTCAGAAACAACATTTCCTTAAACATATAGGCATACACATGAGTATACAAAATCTCACCTAACACCAGATGCAAAACTTATACAGTCTGCATTTATAAATCCTGAAGGTTAAATGACTGCAAATTTCACAGATGTAGCAACCTGCAGCTTACAGGTGCAAATTTATTTTTAAACATATCCCCTAATAGCACTGCAAGACCTTGCTTGAACAGTAAAGTTCTCCCTATATCATTAACTTCCCTGACACTAAATAGGCATTAAAAAAAAATAATCAGAAAGTAGAGAAAAGTATAAGGTCATTATTACATTCATATTTACATAAAATATTTCTTGTATTTACCTATGTTTCTTTTTAATATCAGCAAAAATCTGAATTTTCTCTGCTCCAACTTGTTTTCTGTATCGTAGCAGGTTACCTGCACAGGCATTTATAATCCCTTCATCAGCAACATGAGAAAACACAAACCCTTCAGCCCGGATAAAATCAAGACCTGGAAAAAAAAAAAAAAAAAAAAAAAAAAAAAAAAAAAAAAAAAAGCAATCATAGCTAAAACTGAAGAATGAAAAACTGAAATACTAAACCCAAATTAAACCCCACCTTACTGACCTCTTATTTGATCCCAACACAAGTTGTTCCATATGCTCCAAGACTAACCAACCTTGCTCTTCCACTTATTTAAGTTTTTCATTCTTTATTTTCACTGATATTCTCTCCAACTTCTTTCCACCTTACTACCTTCAACTCCTGTCAACCAGTTTTCTCCCTATCCCCATGGTCCCCTCCTCTTTCTCAGCCCCCATCAGTTTGTTTCTGTGTGGCTCAGAACAGGCAGCTGCACATCCTGCCCTGCCTCTTGTTGTGATGTGCCAGTGGGCATGTACCAGAGGAGCAGGTAGGTGAAACATGGCTTCTTTCTCCTAACAGTGTGTCTTCTCTCCAAAAAGGGTCATTAACTTGGGTGCCTCCCCTCTTTCCAGATACTCTTTCAGTGTATTCCTTCTTTCCCAACATCTCTTCTGTTAAATATGCCTCAAGTTGTCCATCAAATCAAAAAGCATTTGAGGACATGGACACACAGAGGAACAGCATAAAGTCTTCTTTAGGAAATTAGGCAAGAAAACACAGCCTGTGACACATTATATACAACCTGTTTGACTCTTCATCTGAATGTACCTTGTGTTTTCTACACAGCACCACAGCAACAAATTATTTATAGAGCTGTGCCAAAGGTATAAAAAGATAAGGTTTGGGAAGAGTGAAACATTTTCCATTCTATTCCAAACTTACTCCAACCATCAACTCTACCATGTCTTAGCAACATGGTTTCCACCATATCCATTTTTTAATTTTTTTTTTTACTAGGAAGATTTTGTGAGATGGATACTTAAGAGGAAGATTACAAATAGCAATGACTTCACACAGGCCATTCATCTACTCTCAGGGACCCCCTACAGAGTCTTGAAATATTTCTGTGTTAAAATACTGAAGCCTTCGGCCATGATGTAATAAACCCACAGCTGTGAGGCACAAGATTGAATTCTGACTCCCTTATTGTATTCCCCTCATCTCCTGTCTTTCACAGCCTTGAAGTTTATTTCACCTGTCACTTAACATACGTGTCAAAGCTCTGCAATAATCTTGTGCAGCTTTTGCTGTTCTTCCAGTTTTCTTTAGAGGTCTCTTCCAAGCCCTTCTGGAGCTCTGCTGTTGCTCCAGCTCTGGAGTCAGCTGCATGTTTAATTGGAGCTGACATCATACCAAGGAAGCCAATACATGTGAAAGCAGCCATCAAGAACAGTCCCACCCACCAGAGAACTGCTTAGGCAACAGAGGCCTCACCATATAAACATAAATGATCTTTAAAATGTATTTACCAAATGACAAGGTGCCTGTTTATTTCAAAATTTCAGTTTCATTCCAAAAGCCCTGAAGTTGCAGAAACAGAATCTTATGCCTGATAGAGAAGAGCCTGTATTGCTTAGCAACACAGACTCCAGCTAACAAGAAACATCACAGATGGATGCCGAATCAATTGCAAGCTGTCCTGTGTCTTGAGATTAGTGGGTGAAAAGCATGGAATATTCTCAGAACCCAAAGAGAAGAGCGTACTACAAGTATAGTTACAGGTGCTAGTAGGCATTGGGTAATAAACACAGTGCAAAGCTAGATAGAGATTTCTGCATCCAGGAACAAAAGCTATAGGTTCTATTTAAATCACCCAAGTTTACAGTACAATTCAGAGTTAAATGAGAAAAAATACGTCTCTAATCATAAGACTATCAATGAATGTAAAGATATGTTACATTTTCACAGCAATCATAATATCTAACTCAGGACAGGGGCTATTCATTGAGTAATTTCATTTATTGAAGTCACTACTTAGATGTTTGTAGATGCTTGGTTTGCATTTCCTTAACTTAATAATTTAAGACTTTCTGCTAAACATTAGGATTGTACTTAGTTTAACAAGGCCGCACTCTATCTGTTTTTTTGGGGACTATGAAAATACAAATTTTAACCAAGTGTAATAGGTGCAGGCACCAAATCATTACCCTTCTGTTTTATGAGGCCATAATCAGATTCCGCTAATGAATTCATTTTTACGCTCATAAAACTGTGAGAATGATACTATTGCTTACTTTCACATTTGGCAAGTTGAAAAGTAATAACCGTTGAATAGTTAATAGGCAGTCCCATTTCTGACTTATATGGGAAGAAAAAAAATTTTGTAATCTCACTAGAAGACAAGAACAGGAAATTTCCAATGAAGCCTAATAAACAGAACTTCAAGAGTATATTAAGATCATGGAATCAAGCAACAGCAGCTGCAAGGCCTACTCAAGGAACCAGAGCTTGTCTCTTTCTCAGAAGTTAGTGTTACTGCACTTACTTTAATCCTATTTAAACAGCTTTACCTAAACAGATGTGAAAGTCTATCAGTTGTAGAGAAAAGTTTTGGTTTTTTACTTTCCTTCCTATGATAATTTATGACTAAAAGAAAAAAAAAAATGACAGACTGAAACACTTTTGCTGGGTGAGAAAATATTGCAAGACTGAATTGATGGAGGAAATAGTAATTCTACTTTATCCAAGAAGCCCTTTCTCAGGTATGCTCCTTCCTTCAGTTAAAGTCAAAAGGAGCTGGGAGCTAGGATTTACTGCTTTCATAGAAATGGGATCTGGCCTCTGCAAGGCGGCAGCTCCTGGTTGCTGCTGAATTTTGGACTTCAGGCCCTTTATACAAAGGCAAGATGCCGCAGGTAACTTTACTGGTGGTACCTTTTTTTTTTTTTATGTGCAGTAAAACCTGGCTCCCAGCTCCTCTTACCTTTCTAATTCAGAAATAATCTGAAAGACTGATTTTGTGCTGAAAATGAAAATTCAGAGTAGCACTGACTTTGTCTGCTATTGATGCTAGTCAAACAATCTCCATGCTGTGAAGACCCTTTACTATTCAGGACATTATTTTGCAGCATCTCCTTCCGTTCTCAGCATGAATTGCAGGACTGGGACAAGCGTCTCCAGCAGGGCCCCCAGTGCTCACTGCCTTGCTCCACAGCCCCTGTGGCTGCAGTTCTCAGCTTAGCTGCCACCCTACCAACACAGCATTAATATGGTGACAGCTAAAAAGAAAAACAAAAAAGCAGTACACAATTCTGCTCAATTTTATACCGCCTTAAACAGTGTCATGGGCTGTAGAAAGTGAAATACTGTGGAAAATATCTCTGATTGTGGGTGAGGGGAAGCAATACTCTCAGACAGCAAAGCTGTGTTTACAAAAGACATGGAGATATCTGGGTACCTGGGATATTTTCTGATATGAAGCCTCACTTAATCAGCTACCAACTGTGTCATTATCATTGATGAAGACTATTTCAAAAATGGGATTTCAGTAACATGATCCTTACAGGAAAAAAGGGCAGTTTCACAGTCAAGAGGAGATGGAGTTGGACTAAATGATTACTCTAAGTCCCTTCCAACTGAACTATTCTATTCTAAATTTATGAGTTGAGAGAAGATAAAAACTAAGCCCTGATTCATGACAAGTGTAACACAGGCTCACCCATGTGTAGGGAAGCTCCACTCTACAGTAGCCCCTACAGTCCTTGCTCCTAGGCACCCAGACTGAAGCTGTGGCCACAACACAAGAGCATAACTTGCCTCTGGCCCATATACTAAGGTTTTCCACCCTGTGGAGTCAGGATGCAGCAGGGAGGGGTACCTGGAATATCAGAAGTGTTTCTGTGCATTGCTACAGAGATACAGCTATGGGGACTATTTATGCCTCAGAGATCAGCAGATGGCCGGGCCAGTATTTCACAATGGCCATTTTTCTTGAATTCCTTCTTCTCACCATTAACTTTGTCTCCATTAGGTTAATGATGGGCCAGTTATTTATTTCTTCTCAATCACTGCTACATGTTGGTAATGGAGAGCATGCGGAATATGCAAAATAATAAAGGCACTATCACCAGCATATACTCCCTGTATTATAAAAGCTCTGCATCTCCTCTGCAAAGATCTACACTATCTACACTGATAGATTAGAGCCAAGCAGAACATCTCACTAATGCAAGGAAAAATGCAAATATCAGCTGAGGGCTTTTGGGCAATTCCTTTAGACACAACAGTCCCTTATAATATGAATAGTGCTTCATAATTAGCAAACTTTCAATAAAAGAAAAGCCATGAAATTTGAAAGTCGATAACATCATGCAACATGATTACATTAAATTAACACATGGTTAACTTCAGGAAGCAAGGCACGCTGATAAATAAGGAAAACCAAACACTATACCTAAATCTGACCCAGACTTAGTAAACATATTGTGGACATTCCTGAGCACTGAGAAATGATTACCAGTAATATTTGCTAAACAAAAATAAGTAAGGGAGCATTTGTATTTTTATCTCCTCTACAAATGCTCATAGAACCTACTTATATACATCATTTTGTTTCAACCTCAAGCAGATGTAGTTAATTAAATCAGAAACTACAAACAGGAAATTATACACCTCTAAAAACCACACGGTACACCTGTTAATAATGAACCAACTGAACAGTAAGCCTAGCAAACAAATTCTGACTTGCTTCTCCACAAAGAGCATTTTAGAAAAGAAGGAAGATAATACAGCCTTTGGAGGATGTCATTAAAATGAACTATTAAGAAGGGTTGTTTTTCTGAGAATAAGTATTTGAGATTAAGATGGCTTCCAGTCAAAAATATAAATACAAAACTCTACTACTCTGCATCTGTGTTCTGTGGCCTGCGGTTCCTTGGGGACAACACTGTATTTCATATTAAAATGCCTACATTAGAAGAGTACAAAATTGAGCAGCAGAATATGATTTTGCCCCACTATCTGTGTATATAAGGACACTGACTTTTGAGTGGGCTAACATTGCCATACCCGCCCTTAGGAAGGGAGGAAAATCCGGCAGATTTCAGCATGGGGCAGACAGAGGGGGAACACGGGCCCTGCAGGCAGGGAGATACCATGGCCTGCCGGATGGATGCCCTTGGGCAACCGCCTCCTTCAGCCCGCTGGGGTGGACCGGTCGGTGCCTGAACCAGGAGCATTCAGCACTGGCTAACAGTCTGCAATAACCTTTTGAAGCTGGGAGGATGTTGGTAACAACTGTTTTGGCTCAATAGTTGTTTTATGGTAACATGAGGAACTGCTTATTTCTGTCAAAAGAGTGGAGACACAGCAGTTCCCTTTTTCTTCAAGATCCCCCACTGTTTTCCTACCATTGCCCCCTACCTTTGCTGAAGTATCCTGCATGAACATGCTTTTGTTGGCATTCCTTCCTTTAGGTGCCTAATTGGATAAATAAATGTTTCCTATAGAACCAAAATAAAATTTTAAAAATTCTCAACTTTCTCAGATGCCTCATCCCCTGATCTATTACTGTTATTTTCAGATTTATCCAATACCTTGTCAATATGCTAAGAAAATTCCGTGATTTAATCTGTTACTATTTGGCTACCCACAACATATTTATTAACATAACCACACATTGCTGATGTTGAGCTCCTTCTAGTCACACCATAAACCTGCTGACTTGTTACCCCCTTTACAAAATAAAATCATTACTTTCACCTAGAGACCACTTAGAATTTCCCTGTGCAGCTCTCTTCAGAACAGCTATTTCTACCAAAGACAGGAGCTTCCACAGGGAAAGTGAAATGACTACATAGTAGCAGGAGATGCTACATATGCTTTTAACTGAAACACCAGCAAGTATTTTTTGTATTGAAAGCAAGAAAGGGCTTGCTTTATTAATAGCCACCTATTAACACTGTATTGACATTAAAGTCACTACTAAGTTGCCAGGGAAAAACTACTCAAACATTTGCTACCTACACAGCAGCACTCACTTTCCTATGGTTTTGCTTAAAGTGATTTTCTTTTCGCTTTCCTGTTCAGTGAACTTCAGACAGTAATTTTTAGAGAAGTGCAATGAAATGCATTAAACACAGGCCCTTCCTAGCTGGTGTTCTCCAGTTACAGAGCAAATAGTACAGAATAGTAGTAGAGCTGAGCAAAACCCAAGCCCTCCAGGAATTCTCTACCTCATTAATAATTGCTGAGAAGTAAGAGAAATACACTGTTCCCACACTATATCCCTTATTTAGTGATCAATTTCACTCCTCAAAGGATGCATAACTCACTAACAGTTTGACTACTGCTTTTAAAAATGTGTAAATATTTTTGCAAACGCCTGTGTACTCCAACTATCCTACATGCATACAATCCCTAAAAACTAAAACTGGATTCTGTTAGCGCTTTTATTTCAGGTTTTCATATATGTTCTACTGCAGCAATAAAAATCAGGTTTTGTCAGTTTGTCAAGTAGCTAGATACCTTGGAAACGGCAACTTCTGGTTTTAAAGCACCCAAAAGAAATATGTTCAAAACACATCTACTAACAAGAATTCCTCCAAGAAAAAAGGAATTTAAGACTTTTAGAACATGATCAACATAATTAAAACTGTCACTGCAAATAAGTTAGCCTACATTATTTTACCTGAAGTATGATTTTCAATTAACGCCAGCATCTTTTAGTTTTTAATTCCTATGAAATTCTGCCTGTTTATAAAATTTGTACATTCAAAAATGTGCAACCTTACCGTAATCACATATGCAATTTGGGCAAAAACAGGCATTAGCCCTCAATTTATGAAGTATTTAGGAAGTACAAGTCTTCTGTATTAAACCAGCCTCCATCTTTAAATCATGGAACATAACTTGAAAAACTAAAATTGCTTCAGCAAGCAGTAGGAGCAGAAAGGTTAGCAAGTCTAAGATTCATGTGATAAAGATAGATTAATTTGTATTTAATTCCCAAAAATGCAATTTAATTTTAAATAGTTTCACTAGCTGTACACTCTATTTTTTGTTATTATATAAAAAGCTTCATTCCATCCATTCATTAAAAAAAGGCAATGAAAACTTAGTTTTAATGGATAACAGTAGTAGCAACAAAATATAATTAGATGCTGAAACAGGATGCTTAACCACAGTGGGTTAAATTGATCCTCAAATATAATTTAACTGAAGTAAATAGAGTTAGACCAAAGGTGGCTTTTAGACATGAGTAGGTTTAAACTAATCATTATATTTAGACAGGTTTCACCCAGAAAGCTGCAGAGTGGCCTTGGGATTTTTAGCTGCCTCCAACTGAAGCAGTGTGCAAGTATCATCTATTACAATCAAGGAGGCATCTTTCTCAAAATCTAATTTCTGCCTTTTCAGGGTACAGTGAGCTTTTCATGTCTCATTTTTCATGGTATCTATGTTAGTACAATGCACAATTTGCAGAGAGTAAATGCCATAGCAAACAACGGTAATAACTGATGAGTCATTTCTATTACCTGCAGCAAGAGCAACTGCTATCGCCTGTTGATTTGCAGCACACAGGATCTGGACACCCAGCGTGAGATGGGGGCAGGTTCGTCTCACTGCAGCACTAACAACTGTCATTGCTGCAGTTACTTCAGGCCCAGGACACACCACGTAAGGAAGATCATGCATGTTTTCTACTATCAAGCCATCCTGTGGAGATTATAAAGAAATATGATTAAACTGGGAAAAAAAGAGGAATTTTAAAAACCTGGCTAATTTACCATTATGCAGTTTTGTATTAAAAGACACAAGAGTTTAAAGGTTTTCCTTCAAAGGAAGGATTATCTAAAGTAAATTGTGTTGATGCATACAAGCACTTATAAAAGTGCTTTCATCAACAGCATGGTATTTGTAGGGAAATAATGAAGAGAAATAAATGTGATTTTAATTATAGATTCATCAACTTGGTTTCCTTTGATCCATCCTAAAATGTGAACTATAGGCGAATGAGTTAAATCTTAAACCTCATTAAAAATAGTGTAAAGTCAAACTTCAATTATCCAAGTGAAATACAGGATATTGAGAATGTTTGGATAACGGAGGATTTATAGATAATCAATGCAATTTTCAATTCAATTAACGTCAGAAAATAATTGTTATTTTGGATAAATAAAGGAATTTTTTGTTTGACTATTATTGTGCCTATTTGCAGTGTGCCTAATACCATAGTATTAACTATTGATATTTCTCCCATTGTGGATTCAGAATTACTTGAAGGAAGATACTGCTATTTGTTATCTACTGTACCTCTCACTCCACCATGGGCATAATCTTAGCAAACATTGGAGTGATGATAAAATACTCTGCTGATGTAATTTATACGATTTACTGAAAATCTTTGTACATTATCTGATACCTTGTACTTTTCCAATCATTGTACAGTATATATCAGAAAGTTTTCAACAACTGCAAGTCATATATAATTTTGTCAAGGACTAATAACAAGAATAAAAGTATAGCCTTGAAACATATTTCAAGCCTGATGTTTTGCATTTGCAGTGGGAATGTTGGAAGAAGCTAGAAATTTCTCATCTGCTTCAACCTAAAAGTGCAAAAAGTTGAACAGGTAAATTAATTGTATATATAGAAATAAATTTCACTCTCTCTGGAGTTTTATCACACATTTTAATCCTTTAAAATGAGAGCTTTACATTTCAAAGATATTGTAACTGAAGCAGAATATAAAGAACATTTGAGGAAAAAATACAACTACACATTATACAACGAAGTTTGGTTAATAATAATGTAGAAAAACAGGAAGGGGGAAAAAAGGTTTCCTTTTAAAAAAAAACCAAAAACGTAACACTTCTTTAATCTTTGTTGTAGTGCAAAAGCCCTTTTGGCAGTAAAAGAAAGACAGTATATAAAATGCAGTCAGCATTTAATGGCTGAATTACAGGCCAAACCACAAACATCATAAATGAACACCTAACGTGGAGGATGAGGAGAAGGGAGAATGGAAATAATCCAGTGGAATAATATGGTCAGTCCAAACACATGACCCACCTACATTCAGCATACCAGGGTACAGCTGCCTTTTCCAAATGACTTACAGCCTAGTATTTAAATACACAAAATACATCATACATCATGCTACCTTAAAACCAAAAGGACACAACCTATTATTAATGGAAAAAGTGATCCAATATTGTGAGCACCCAACATTAGACCTACTCACTATTTGGTGCCATTCATCAGCATATTTCGTTACAGAATTTCAGTCCAAGAAAACCTCAACTAAGCAAAGGAAAACCAAATATGACAACTAAACAAAATATCTCCTTGACTTTGTTTCTACGTCCAGTTCTATGTATAATTTAACATCCACACTCTAGCTGTGATAGGAGATAGCTGTATTACAAAGATGACAACCAGCCCTCAGAAAATCCACAGCATTTTCAGAAATGAAAAAAACCCACAAACTTTTAAGTCAGTTTCTCTGAATGAGGTCAGGACTGTTCTAATAAACCTGAACTGACCAAATGGTCTTGTACCTCAGACACAACTACTGAATCCTGTGTGGTACCAACAAAAAGTTGGTACCTTAGCCTTTTGCCCTCTGTAAACGTAAATATATTAGGTTAGTCTAAGCAAGAACACAAAGTTGGTCAGTAGTAATATGTGGAATTAATGTAGAACTATAATATTTTAATGAAACAAAACAAACTCAAAAAATGCAATGAACCTTCAAAACCAGAAAGCCCTTGGTCCTTGGCTCAAGAATGCTCTCACTGGCAGACTTCACCAAAACCTGGATACCTGGGAAACACCAAGCTTATCCTAGAGGCAAGGAGCTAGGGTCTGCAAATCAGAAGCCCCAGGCTTTCAGGCAATCAAGAATCAGCCTCAATAGGAGACACAGGAATAAAGCAGAGAGGAAAATTTTTCACAGTAAGAACAATCAGTCACGGGAATAATCTCACCAGAGAAGTGGTGGATTCCCTAACATTGGACACTTCTAAGATTCAGCTGGACAAGGTGCTGTACCATCTTATCTAGACAGTGCTTTTGCCAAGAAAGGTTGGACCAGGTGATCCTTGATGTGTCTTTCAACCTGGTATTCTATGAAAGGCATCTGAGAAGGGGTCTTCAGCTGCTCTGCTCCTGAAGAGCCACCCTAGCAGCCAAAAAAGGAGGAGAATAGGCTGGCAGAATTCCACAGGAATTCAACAGTGAAAGCGAGCTTTCCGTGAGTTGCTACTAGTCTGACAGCTTGGGATTTGCATAAAGCAAATTATTCCATTAGATACATTAACAAATTAATTAATTTTTAAATTAATTAAAAACCCTAGCCATACTACTGTGCGTGAAAAGTATCTGATTGAATTCTAGTTCAAAATGCAGGCATATGGGAGGATTCCAACATTTCTCTCTTCTGCCTTAAACTGACTATATTCACTTTCTAGCAGTTGTCTCTTCCTATGGCCTCAAGGTCCAGTTACAGTGAATATTTTTGTTATTACTTTAATAACGTGTTATTCTTTTGGTACCATCCAATAGACTATGTTCTTTCGCATATTATGTTTTGTTTAATCAAAAATGAACAACATATGCTCTGCAAGAGAGCTGAATTACACATGCGTTAACTCAAAGCTTTCTTTCATATTTTATATAAAAATATAACACCACAGATTTCTGTGTTTACTGAATTGATATGTATATAAAACAGACTTCAGTACTATCAGACAGCTAATTAAAATGGTGGAAAGAAAACACTTACATTAAAGTTCTTGGAATTTAAGATTATAGTTTAGAAGTCTATGGGAACAACTACTGTATTATACCCTCTAAAGCAGAATTTATTTAGATAGTATGAGAGAAAACTCTAGCAAATACCTTTTGTGTTCCTTTTCCACTGAATACTAAGATCATTTAAGTGTTGCTTATATATAATAGCCTTATTATAAAAGTAATTCTCAAACAATATAACTCCTTTCTAGTCTGAATGACTTCTGGAGTACTACGTATGTGCAAAGTGCCTCCTGTATCACAGTTAGCTATTGAAGAACAGGTCATTCAAATAGCTCTCTGATTAAATAGAAAAATAATTTCCTTAGCTTTATTCCACTTACAGAAATGACCTCTTAAAACACTTCAGCTGCATGCACACATATCACAGTAGAAAAGCCTCAAAAATAGTCACAACACTATAAGCCACAACAGGTAGAACAATCATACAAGCTTTAACTCAGCATCTACCTAATATAACCTTTACCTAGGGCAACTTTAACCCCAGTGTTTCCCCTAACAGAAAGGCTCTACCTACAGACACATACATGCTAATACAAACCTTTGCAGGCTTAAAACAACTACTCTTTCCTACAGGAGGAAAGAGAGGTTTTTTACCATACCTGTTATTATATAGGCTCAAGTATGCACTAAGATAATAGCCTTTCCCACCATCACTGTCATATGCACCTTATAAAGGAAATCAGGTGCTTTGGTAGAGCATTTATTTGCTGTTTCTAGGCACAGCTCGCTTTAATTCCTCCCTAATTTCTTTAAAACCTCTATCTCCAGAGCAAGCAATTACTGCCTTAATATATGAAAGTAGGTATCTTATGTTCTGCATATACCATAAGAGGTAGTAATATAGCTAAGACTTGAAATGTTAACCTCTGTAATTTGATAACTATCTATATGTTTCTATGCAGAAATACTAGTTTATTTGGTCTCAACTGTTATTAAACTCTAAGCAATGTATATTCCAACTATAATCATAGTTATAAGAGTAACAGACTTGAAACTTTGCATTTTTCAAAAACATCAGTGTAAAACATGTACTCCCAAGTACAGAGACAAAAGAAGTGTTGGGAGGATCAGAATAGCAATGAATGCATCTCCAGAGACAGCACTGGTAGAAGAAGGAAACCTAAAATTTTGTGTGGCAAGAAGCACCATAATATCTGCAAGTCAATGTAGCTTTAACTTGGGGATTTTTATTTTTTTTTAAGAAATAGTTTTACTTCTCTATCTCTAGCCATCTCTAATGTCAGCTATTCAAGTAACCACAGCTATATAACAGTAACTACTAGTAAAGTGATCAACATCAAGGAAACTATAGGAAGTTTGTGCTCTATTCTGTGGCTACAAAGTAAGCATAACCCAGGCTGAAAGAAATGAATAAAAGTTAACTTGAAAATGTATTTTGCATTTTTTTAAACAAAAGCAGATACAAATTGGAGGGATCATAATGCCTCAGAGCTTGCTGCTTATAAAAATCTTGTCTAGGGAATTTAATTGTTTAGCAACACACAAGTACAAAGCATATACATTTTGAGCACAGATGGCTTCCTGACTGAGCGCTCACTTGTTTTCATTACTGTGCTCTAATATCACAAATCTTTTATATTTATTATGTTAAGCTGCTAATGTGCCAAACAAGTCACCTTTTCTAAATATACTAGGATTTACTTCAAGTGCAATGCATATTGAGTGAGCAAGACCATATTTATTTTTAAATGTTAACACCAATTCAAGCAACTTGAAACAATATGTAAGTATCTAGTATCAGCAAAATGGTTACACATCTTCTTAAAGGCTACTGTTGGCAGCATTTGGAAACACTGTCACTAGAAGCATCCATGGAAAAAACCTTTCACTTTCTAGCTCTTCTTCCACAAGAAAAACAGAGTTTAACGGTTCATTTGGACTACTGATGGGGAAACCCACATATATTCCCATTACAGAAGCAGGAGAGTTAGTGTGGAAGAGTGGTGACCTCGGTGCAAAAGCCAGAAAGTTTCTGCAGCATCTATCATGACAACTTGCATTTCTCTTAAAGTACCAGGAAAAACCCAACAAGTGAACTGCAGAAAGTGTTAAGACAACCATACTGGTATTTATGGACGCTCTCACGGTTATCTCTGGCCTTCATGGCATTAATAAAGGATTTGTTTGCCATACTGCTGTAACACTGTTGTGTACAGACATTTAGAATGAAGATTGGTGTGGAATGTATACTGATGTTCTTGTGACTTCTATGGGAAACAGACTAAGCGTAACTTTAAGCCCTGAATTTTTCCAAATGTGTAGAGAAATTACTGCATTCACCTCATCTGTCTACCTGAGAGGTACGTTTAAAAATATATTCTAGAGCAGAGACTGCAATGCAATAGGAGAAAAGGTAAACCAGTTAGACCTGGAATAGCGGAATTTATTACAACTGTTGAAAAGACAGTAAAGTATAAAACCCAAATTAAAATTTTGTGTTAATACTGATATTAAAGCTTGTCTAAAAACTGTTTCAGCTTTGTGCATGTCAGCAGTGAAACTGAACTGCTTCAGTACCCTTCCTCACTTTTAGGCATACTTGGTGTTTTCTCCCTGCTGCTAAAAGTTTCAATGTGTAATTAGAATATAAGGGAAATGGGTAAACATGCACTAGAATGTGGGGCAATGGTTTTACCCGTTATAGATCACTTGTGTAACCACTTCCTCTAACACAGGAAGACAGAGACTTGCCACTCCTCTGCTGTAGATCAAATCACGTTATACCTCATGTTGATACTGTAACTGTAAAGACAAAATATAAAGTCACAGTACAGAATACAGAGCTACTGCACACCTGTTCTTTCAAGAAGCATGAAAAGGAAGAAATCTTACTCATTCTGTACAACATGCAGTTAAAGATTATTCTAACTGGGTGGACATCTTGCGCATGCTTGTCTGGTTCACAGGAACTGAAGTCCACCTATGTAAACATCATTCTTCTGCACTGCTGTTTATCCTTCCAACAATTCTGTTCTTGGGATTTTTTCCTAATTTAGACTTCATAGTGCTCTGCCCATAACCTACTTTGTGTGACTTGTTTTGCATTTTGACCATGGTCTTCTATAATTTAGACTAAGATCTTATATTCAATTTGTTTCAGTCTGTAAAGTACCATTCTAATTTATGCCATTAAAAAGGTTTCAACTGACTTGTTATTAAAATTTTGCAGAAAACAGCAGCTCAGAGCAGTGACTACTTGATCATTTAAGACATTTTCAAACCTCAGACATTAGGACACCACCTTACCGTGCCGGAAAACGCACATAATACTGTAGGCAGGTCAAAGAAAAAGCACATCAACACCTGAAGACAAGGTGCAATCAAATTTTTAAAACATATCTGACCTTTCAAAAGGACATACACCCTCTTAAAATCTACTGACCTATGGAGATTACGACACCACTTTAGGTCCAATGGCAATTCAGTCAGTAGTACCTGCCTCTTCTTGCCTCTGGCTGAGACTGGCCTTTTGGGCCTTCTCCTCTATATGTGCAAATCAGGCATGCTTGCTGCCTGGGGTTAGGATAGAAGGGTTAAAGAGGGCAGAAAAGGGCCTAAGCTTTTTTCTTTAGTCCTTGAATGATTGGTGCTGTTTTGGTACGAAAGCAAATGTGGGGTGATCCTGCACACTACAAGTGACTGAGGTATGCATGCAGTGCCTTGGCTGTACACATGGCATTACTGCATGACTGTGAAACTGGAGCACTGGACAGAGCTAAAAATACCATGGCTTGTCAGACTGGATACAGCCAGGTATCTAACACGCCAGCAGCTATCTATCTGTGTTGCAGTCAATTTTCCTTTTTTTTTTTTTTTTTTTCCCCGCTTAAGATTTGATTCTTAGAAATTCTTAAATTGATGGTAATTCAACTGAAGCAACTTGAATTGCATGGTTCGAACCTAAGCTTTTTCAATTGTTTTGGGTGCATGTATATTTATTTTAGGGTTTGTACTCTAGAAGGCCTACTTACCATTTGAAATAAAAAATGTGGTTTTAGGCATCTTCCTAAACAGTGCGTTTTAAGATGCTTTTGATGAATTATAGACTCAACTTAAAATATTGGCTATGGAGAAACAACTTTGTGTAAATGCTGCCATAGGAAGAAGGAAACCAAAACTTACAACTCCAGCATCCTTGTAAGCTTCTGCCTCTTGACAAGCTTGATCAGTGATCTGGGTCAATGGAAGGGAATTTCTTGGTGTCCCTGCAAGAATGATGCTGCTTACCCCAGGGCATGCACAAACCAAAACCACATACAGTAACAGCTTTCAGGTAGAGTAACCACAGGCATACTGAAATAGGGAGAAAGAGGGTAAACTTGCTAGAGGGCTGCCGTTATCTCCTTGTGACATGCCTTGGTGGCATCTCTTTCTTTAGCTGAACTTGACAAATCTGCTGTAAAAATTCAGCTCCTAAATCTAACTCACAGACTTAAGGAATACCTGCTATAATCTCTTATTGCACCAGCCCTGCTGTTAGCTTGTTATTCCTGTACTTACTACAGCTTATCCTGCATTACTGATGCTCCACACAATACAACCTATGACTGACCTCTAGATCTGCAGAACACCTTTGCTAAACACCTGTCAATGTAAAATTAGTTAAAGCTATCTTTAATCTGCAAGGCTGATTGTATCTGATCTGCAGTATAAGTGCTTCATGGCAGAAATGAACACGCATGGATTTTGCTGGAGTTCAATGAGTAAGATAAACTTAAGATCAACTCCACAGTTTTTCTGGTATTTGGGTTCCTAAAGCCAGGCACTGAGAGTGTGAAATGGGGACTGTGAAGAGCCCTCTGACGTCTCTGTCGGATGGTCTGATTTCACAGCGTGGGGAACGCTGGCCGTAATGTCTGGAGGCTGCTCCTGGGAAAATATGGAGCACGGTGAGCTCCGGGCACGAGCCTGTCAAGGGGAAGGTCAGCTGCTGTAATCAGCTCTGCTTCCCTGAGCCCCAGAAAAGGGGGGTGAGGAGGTCGGGACGGAACAAACCCTGCCTGTCGTCTGAACTTCTTGCCGCCTCTCGCGGCATGTGAGAGCTCTGTCCAACCACTGTCCTGTCCCAGCGCTCGTACTTCCCAACCCCTGCCTCTTGAAACAGCAGCGCAGAGCTCACCACAGCCAAGCCCCAGTTCTCTCAGTCCAGCTCCCTACGTGGAAGCATCTCCTGCCTCTTTTGCCTCTAGAGAGGGAGATGCCCAAACCTGCGGCACATCACGGGGGCCCGCAGCGGCGGTCGAAGGGACAGGCCTCCAGGGGAGCGGGCCCTGCCGCGGGGGCCGCAGCGGCCAATTTGGCTTTAGATCATACTCCTGTAATCTTACTTAACCCTATTGTGATGCCTCATTATTATAATGAACATGGTGCGACAGGTACGTGGCTACCAGATGCTGTATAGCAGTGGGCGAGGGAGACCATCAACCCTGCCTGATCAAGAGTGCGAAACACTTCAGCTCATACAGGTTCCTTTGGAGTCTTTGCAAGAGATGAGGACTGTGTTGGTCTAAAACATTATGTTAACTTCAGTATATCCAGCTGTCCTGGGATTGCAAGTGTGCACTTTACAGAAGCCATAACATGCATTTAGGCCTATCTGGAGGGACTCTGCATTGACCTCTCTAGAGCGTTGCAGCAGTACAGCCATGTGCTTACGTGCTGTACCTTGCAGGCCAAAGCACAAGGCTCTTAAGCGTATGAACAGAATCATCTTTTGAAAAGTATTCTTTTTGCAGTAGTATCTCTACTCATGTGTCACTTGGCAGAGAGAAAAGATCTCCCATTGCTTCCACCGTTAGCTCCATTCCTATTGACAGGTGTCATTATAAGGCTGACAGAGTATGAGGTTCCTGATTAGAACTGAAGTTTCTACTGGATGCTAATGCAGTAGTAAAATAGGCTTCATTGCTCTGCAGAACAGGAGGATAATTTCTGTAAAGTCATGTAGCTGTGGAAATCAGGCCTGCAGTGGAGGTTAGTAGTGACCATTGCTGGTTTTCTCAGCAAGACATTTATAATGATTTCAGTAGTGTCCTCTTGCTCCCTTAGTGCCCTTCCTATAATCTTTGAACCTGAGATACTACTGGTATCTACACTGGATGCTATGTTGGTATATGGTATTGAAAGCACAATGCTTTTGTACATTGAGATGCCCACTCTAAATAGAGTAGACTGTTTTCTGAGATAGGTTTGCCCCTCTCCTTTTGTTGTTTTTTTTCCTGTATATACACACATGCTTGCTCAGTCACTGTTGCTAGGACTTCAGTCTGTTAATGCATATGCAGGGCGATAAGCTGCAAAAGTCATGATCAGGGAGTACAGGTCATACTCATTTGGTACGCGAGGCTATGCATAATGTGGCACATCTAACCAGAAGTGGCAGCTGGAAGTTCTAAGACTGAAGTGCTACCGTAACAGATGGGCATCATTGTTTGGAATGGCCTCTGCTTGTTGCAACTGCGTATACTAGTTATCAGTCAACATATTAAGCGGGCTCAAATGGTGAGCATTTAATGAGGGGATCTCTTCTTCCCTTCTGTCTTTCTTTTGTGCAGTATATTAAACTAATTTCTCACTTCTGTCAAGGAAGAGCTGCCTGTCCTTTACTACAGCTCTCTCCTTCACCAAAACATTCATTCTGTTTGAGCTGAGCAAGGACTTCTTGTGCACGTTTATTGCATAATATTAAGGTATTGTTAAAAAACCCACAATGGAAACCCAATTTTACCTTCCTTCGGAAAGACAGTAGAAAGAACTTGAAATATATTTTGCATACGTTGACCTTCAACTCTGAAAGTACCTAAAGACTTGCAATTTTGTCTTTTTGTTTGTGTTTCTGGCATGGTAGCCATTCAGTGTTACTTCAGGAATGATAGGTAAATTCAAATTTAGATAGTTTAGGCACCAGGCATCCAGAATATTTACTTGAGAATTTTTCAAGTTAAGCTTAGGATACTGGTGGGATTTGGTCCTTTGATTCTGTAAACCATAAATGAAATTGGTACCTGTGTATCCATCCTTACATAGAGAAGGTTTTTTGTTGTGACAAAGTAGCCAGATTGTTACAGAGCTGTTTAAAAAAGCTAACATTTGGCTGCACAGCAGCAGCTCTTCAGTCTATGGTGTGACACCAGCTATTTTCTGATATAAATTGCCATGGGCCACTAATGAGAATATGTTTACGGTTCCAGCAGCAGTATAGCAGGCTTGTATGATAGCCAGTGAGATAGTTATTCTGTTGAGGCACAACAATTCTAAAATGCAAGTAGCTATAAATCCACTGCAGCCTATACCACATGACTTCTCCATTAAATAAATTGTTTACTGACACTAGTTTATGCACAAGGCAAAATATCATAGTCACATCCCACTTTACAGCATCTTCATAGTCAATTCATTAGTTTGTTTCTGTTGAACATAAGGCCTGAGTTCTTAATTAGGATGCCATTGCCCTTTATGTGATGAAAGGGTGGCTATATCATCAGGTTTGTGACAGCAGAATATTGCATAAATTCTGTGTTTGATTTTAGAGAACTGGCACTGCTGTAATTCTGCTAGCAATTCTCATATTAATTCTGGCTGCTTTCTGTGGACAGATACACTTCCAAGGCTCCGTGTAAAACAAAATTCATCTAACTAGATTAGAGTCATCTGTGCAATTGTGATACAAATTACATAGCCACCTCCATCTAGAGTGGGGAATTGAATATAGAAGTTGATTTCTTTAGATTAAACTAACTTAATGTTTTCAGGTGGTGAGGAGAAATTGTTTTGACCAGTTTTTCACTAGACATTTTTCCAGAATCCAGTCTTACTGTTGTCAAAATGCTCCACCTAACTGGTTTGAAAATATCCTCCAAAAAGTTTCTTTAACTAGTCAAGGTTATCATTGGAAGATCCAATTTAAAAAAGCAAAATCCCAAAAACCAACTTGCAAGTTTTGAGACAAACAGATAAAGAATGTAAACTATTTCCAGGTTGAGAGCTTGATTTGTCGCAAATTTGGGGCAGGGCAATATTCAGACTTTAGAAAACTAAAAGTAATAGAAGCTCTTGTGCTATTCAGAAAGAATCAAAACAGCTTAATAATGTGAGTTGCTCTTCTCTTTCCTATTTAATTTCTGATGGTCAAACTAAGACTGCAGTGTAGTAGTTGATTTCGATGCCTGTTATGTGGTGCTGTCTTTTAGGGTGAGACGAACAGGGCTGTTCCTCTGCCTTTGATTTCCATGCTGAAAATCCTCTGAGCTTGCTGTTTGAATGCAGTTCTGGGTCACTGTCTTTCCCTGTTTTTCTGCTGCCTTCCTTGTCCTGGTCTGTGGAAGCTTGTTCTGGTGTCTCCCAGCTCGCACTGAGACACATGAGTGTATGCAGCTTGTACTCCTAAGTGTGGCTGCTTCACTGGAGGCTCTGCCTGTAACCAGTAGCCCCAGTGGTCACTACCTGCTCCATTTTGTGTCTGGCCTATGTGCCTGAAGAATGTCCAAAAAAAAATCTGTTTAAATGAACATTTGGTTTATCAGCGAGTTATGACGTGCTGCAGAAAACACAGATGTGGGAGGGAGCATTTTAGCTTTAAAAAAACCTAACCAACACCTCTGAACTCCTGGGTTTTATTTTTTTGAAGCTGTATGGGCTTGACTGCTCTGATGGACTTCTGGTCACCTACCTTCTGCCCTTCTTGGTGCTCCTATTCCTAATGAGCCTTTTCATGTCCTCAGTTCAGTTTCTCTAATCTGTATCTAGTTGTGGGGTCTGAGGTACAGATCTGTATCTCTGATAAATTGTTCTATTTTTGTATCTGGAATATTACTGTGGGTGTCACCAAGCTTTCTTGCTGGGCTCCATATAGATTTGAAGAGGCAGTTTTCACCATTGATTTTTGGCTTGCATCTTGGCTCCTATTTGCCTCAGAAGTAAGCCCAGGACAGTAGGATTTCCTCCATTAGGCTGCACAGATTCTCTGTAACATCTGTCACTTTTTGGCAGCTCCCTGCTTTTGGGTTGGCTCCGTCGAACCCCGTCCAAGAAATTGTTTCTTTTTTCAGTGGTGGCTCCCATTTCCTTACAGTTAGTGTGGTATAATGCAGTTTCTTGATATTGTTTCTTAGTTTTTGTTGAATGTCTTGCTGAATCTGCTTTAAAGACTCAGGAGTCTGATTAATATGCTCATTCCCTCAACCAAAACCATGCCAGAGCTGTAGTGCTCTCACACTAATTCAGACTTCTGTCTCCCTTCCTGGTAGCTTCATGCTTTTGAGGGCCCTGCACATTTCTTTCCTTCTTGTCTCTAGCTAAGCCAGATTTTTTTTCTGTTGCTTGCATCTTTTACCCAGTTGTCTTGGTGAGTGATATTAACTAGTCAAAAACTTTTTCACTTCTGAAAATGCTTAAGAGGCTCCTGAGTCTTGATTTATATTTCCTTATAGAAGATGGAGGGTAGTGAAATCTTAAGTCAATTGTTGCTGCTGCAGTACAGTATGTGAGGTAGATAGCTCATATCTCAACTTTGGTTGAGAACTTTGGAGCAAATCCCTTGTCTTTCAGAAGCTGCTGGCATATTAGTCACCTTTAAATAGACATTATGTAATGTTACTGCTCTTCTGTTGGTTTGCTGATTAGCTGACAAAGCAGCACTTCTCCAAAGGCTGTTAGCAGCTGGATTGCTGTGCAGTTTGGAGGACAAAGTGTCACTAAAGTCTAGTATTGAAGGAGGACAAAAATTAACTTAAAGCAATGCTGATGTGACACTTTTATTCAAACTTTCAGTTCATAAGGAATCTGTCACTTTTAAGATAAAGATACTATTCCCTCTTTTTGCCTTCCCTCACCCAATTGAAATCGTGGCGTGGCTGGGTATGTAGCTATGCTACATTTGCATGTAGAACTCCAAGAAGAAAAACTACCTATCTGTGTGTCAGTAACTCAGAATACAAAGCAGTCTTAGCTGTGAGTGAACTGTGAAATGTGGGTTTTGTTTCATCAAGTCAGTGGTTTCTGTTTCTGAAGCTGGTGCTAGAGGGTAGCCATTTTGCTGGAAAGTGATGTAGGACAGGACAAATAACAGGTGTGGAACCTTCTTTGCAAGAGATAAAAATTAATGTAGAGCATTTTACTTGTTAACACTTAAACCCCCCCCCCCAGAAGAATCATTTTGTGGCTCATCTTTCTTCTTGAAGCACACTAGGAATCTTGTTAAGGATTTCTGTCCTTTCAGCACTGCAGAACAGGGCAGTTCACAGCAAGATGGCTCACTTCACTATTAAGCAGAAGTGCCAAATTTGCTTAGGCATGATGACATGGGGCTGGCTCTGTATTCTGCCAAATAAACCAAAAAAGGTTTAAGAAAGGTAGTATTTTCCTGGGGAACTGTGTGAAGTGTCCACCAAGATCTTGTTTAAGAAAGTGAGCCAGTACAAGAGTAAACCTAAAGTGAAGTTCTGGTCCAAATAAAAGGATATGAAAGGTGGAGTGTCAGGTGTCTGATGTTTGCAGGCCTTGGCAAAATTCTGTATATGGACTGGCCAACTTGATACTTTAGTGGCAATTGCTTAACATGTGCTTGCTTTTATTCTGAAAACAGTTGAATCATAAGTGCTTTGTTTTTTCATCTTAGCGCAGCAAGATGAATGAGTAAGAACAATTCTACAACCTAGTTTTTTACTGTGTTCGTTGTCAAGGTTGCTTTGCATGGAACCACAACTTCAGGCATTACATCTACATATTCCTTACCAGAAATCCTGATCTTGTCTTTGTATAATTATAATCACAAATTGGGTTTTTAAAGTTCCATCTGCTCATTCTTTACCTGAAGGCAAGCATCTTGCTTTCAATCAAAATATTCTTGGTAAAAACAAAATGCAGTGTGACAACAGGAGACCAGATCTGACTTGGATATTCTTTTGTGAAACAGTTGTGGTCCTTCAAAAGGAGAACAGGGTAATTGTTCATCAGCTTTAGTTGCAGACTTTCTTTACTCTGAAAATAAGCAACATGCCTCTACTCACTGCTGGTTGAGGTCACACCTGGAGTACTGTGTCCAGTTCTGTGTTCCCCAGTACAAAAGAGACTTGAACATACTAGAAAGAGTCCAGCAAAGGGCCACTAAGATGATTAAGGGACCAGAGCATCGGTTCTATAAGGAAGGGCTGAGGGAGCTGGGACTGTTTAGCATGGAGAAAAGGCGGCTCAGGGAGATTGTATCATTGTATATCAATACTTGAAGGAAGGTTGTAAAGAAAATGGAGCTGGGCTCTTTTAAGTGGTGTCCTGTGACAGGGCAAGAGGAGATGGACACAAACTGAAGCACAGGCTGTTCCCTTTGAACATCAGGAAACACTTTTTTAGGGCAGAGGTGACCAAGCACTTGTGCCTGTTGCCCAGAGAGGTTGTGGGGCTTCCATCCTTGGAGATATTCAAAGCCACCTGGACATGGTCCTGGGTGACTGCCTATAGGTGACCCTGCTTGAGCAGGGCGGTTGGACAAAATGACCTACAGAGCTCCCTTCCAATCTCAGCGATTCTGTGCAGTTTAAAGAGGTAATTGTAGTTTCTCGCCACTGTCTTAATCATTTTAGTTGTAAATAAAAGATAATTTTAAAAGGCACAGTGTAAAATCTCATATTTCATTTAATAGCCATCCTGGAATAATGTTCACAAAAACGCCCATATGCTGATTCCTACTCCGGATAAAGATGATGATCCAGTTGGTGTTGATTACTCTCACTTTATACCTCTAAGTGTTGTTCCAACTAGAGCTTCACCTTTACCAGTTCTAGGGTAAGTGTGCCATTTTGCTGCTGCTTGTCTGCCTTCTTTTAGTCTTATTTGATACTAAACATATTGATTTGTCTTAGCTGGGCAAACAGGGAGGATGTATGGAAAAACATGATAAATAAAGACGAGACATATGTGAGGGATAAACTTTATATGCAAAGGCACCCTCTCCTGCAACCTAAAATGAGAACAATCCTTCTAGACTGGCTAATGGAGGTAAGCTTTTCAGTGCTTGTGAGTATTTCAAGTGTGCTTTTGTTGAAGTGTACTAATAACTGTCATGATCATGCTTCATGATCTTTGCATAACTCATTCAGCACTAGATGCTCGTCTTTGTCTTAAGGTTTGTCAATGGCAGCAAACTTTAAAAAAGAATATATAATGGATTGAGGTGGTGGTATACAAACTGACAGTATATTCTGATATTCATTTATATTATTGTGGGTAATAAACAGTTTGTCTCTAAAGCTCCACCATGTAAGCTTTTTAAGGTCACACCGCAGATAAAAGCTGCACAAATGATTATGAAAGTCACTGTAAAAAGGAAGGTGTGGTGTCTTAGAGACCAGATGCATCTCTCAACTGCTCTGTTTTGGACATGTAGAATGTAGTACAACTCTGCATGTGAGTCCTTTTTGCTGTTTGGATGACTTGGTGGCATAGTTTCTGTTCTTAGTTCTAAAGTATTTCTGAGAATTTTCTCTTTTGAGGTGTTGGAATGATGCATCTTTGCAAAAATGAAGAACTGATGTTCTGACATTGTTAGAACATGTGCATGCATTTCCTAAAAGGGTTTTTACTCTGATCTGTTTGTTTTGGGAGTTACTGTAGTGGCAGTCATCTTGTGTCAAAGGAAACTGTTTAACTCGTGCTCTTAGTTAACATCTTACTTCATAATAGCAGTGAAACAGAAAGCCAATATGAATCTTATGTCTAGCTCTTGCTTTATTTGAATACATCTGTGGCATCTGGTTTTGTCTCTGTAACACTGTTCTTGACCTTTGTAATCTCTGATGTCTCTCCAGGTTTGTGAAGTCTACAAGCTTCATAGAGAAACTTTTTATTTAGCACAAGATTTCTTTGATCGGTTTATGGCAACACAACAGAATGTTGTAAAAACACTATTGCAGCTTATTGGTATCTCTTCTTTATTCATAGCAGCAAAGCTTGAGGTAAGTATAACCAGCTTTATTTAAACATAAAAATGTGAATGGACAAACAGTTCACTTACTGTATACTAGATGCATTTTTGACAGGCTCTATGGAGTTTGTTGCTATGACTTTTCAGCTAGGAGACCAAAAAAAAAAAAAGCTTTTTTATTTTCAAATTCCTCTTTTTGATTTTTTTTTTTTTTTTAGAAGTTGCTAAAGACTAGCTAACATCACAGTATATCTCTTTAATATAAGGATAGTCTTTTCAGTGTTGGAATAAATATAAAGTTTTTAACTGCAGTTGCTAAAGGAGTTTTTGGCTGGCTGCTGTATACAGAGACCACTTGTTGCAATTCTGTTGTCAATAGAGTACCTACTGGATGATAGTCACAGCTATTCTTTATTTATTGGAACAAATTGAACTATTAAAATCCATAGTGCTTTTTAGGTTCTTACTGTTTGTCTTTTAAGAGGGCTATTATTCTTCAATTTGTTCTTAAGCAAGGGAAGAAAGGCCTTTTATGTATAAAAATCTAGATGTCAATTATGATACCGTTGCAGTACTGCTGTAGTCAAATATAATGCATGTTGTACTGGTCCATCAAAAGTGAAAGGTGAAGGCTACAAGCAGAAATGTTGAACAAGAAATCTGTGTATGTTGTTGTACGTTGCCTTTAACATCACTTAGGGTGAGGGGTTTGGGTTTTTTTTCTCCCTCTGTTCTGAAATGCTGGACTAGTGGTGGGTTGTTCCTTTTTTTCTTTTTCTTTTTTTTTTCTTTAGCACATGAGATTAGTTACAACCTATTCCACAAATTAATACTTGATCTCCTATCTTTCAGGAAATTTATCCACCAAAGTTGCACCAGTTTGCGTATGTTACAGATGGAGCTTGTACAGAAGATGAAATCCTCAGTATGGAATTGATCATCATGAAGGTAATATTTCAAAGTGGAATTAGTTCTACTTTAGTTTTTAAAAATGTATAGCATAATCAGGCTAAAAGCAGAGAGCCTCAGTTAATCTTATGTGCTGCTAAGAGGCACAATTTCTCTTTCTAATTAGAAAACAGTGTTCTATAGGTAACAAGTGATTTAAAGCATCCACCAGTATGTGCATATTAACAAAATTAATTGTTCCCCCACCCTATCAGCAGGAGGAGGTACAGGAGAGGATTAGATTTGTGTGTTTCAAAAATGCCTTGATGAACTGGAATTACAGCTTCTGATCTGGAGTACATAAAGTTGCATGGTTTAACTTAGGAATGCTTTAATTATACTGAAATCTTGTGCATGTCTACTCTTTCAGGCTCTCAACTGGAACTTAAATCCACTGACAGTTGTATCATGGCTAAACATTTACATGCAAGTTGCATATTTAAATGAGCTTTATGAGGTATTGCTGCCACAATATCCACAGCAAATATTTGTACAAATAGCAGAGGTAAGACTGATTTCCTTCAAATGCTATTTCACTTGGGGAAAAAAAGGTGTTCTTGTGATAGACTTATTAAACATTTGTTGTGTTGTAGCTTTTGGATCTCTGTGTGCTGGATATTGGCTGCTTGGAATATACCTATGGAGTACTTGCAGCTTCTGCTTTGTATCACTTCTCCTCATCTGAGTTGATGCAGAAAGTTTCAGGTATTGGCATTTATAAACTAAGTCTAATGTGTATACAAATGTCACGCTTCATTCAGGGAGATAAATATATGTCCTGTCTTCCAGGTTATGAATGGTGTGAGATAGAGGAATGTGTAAAATGGATGGTTCCATTTGCAATGGCTATAAGGGAAGTAGGAAGCTCCAAACTCAAACACTTTAGAGGTGTAGCTCCTGAAGACTTGCACAATATACAAACGCACATAAACAGCTTGGATTTGCTGGTATGTATACGCATATTAAAGACAAAAGCTGTCTGTAGAATCTCTTAACATCTTGTTTCTTCTTTGGTTCAAACTGAACTTAAGTGAAGCCTTTTCAAATTGAGACTTGAGTGTATGCAGATGATAAAAGGCATAAGACTACTCCAGTTGCAAAATTCTTGTGAAAGAGACCGGATTTGTTCGGTTTTAGTTCAAAAAAAAAAAAAAAAAAAGTGATTGACTTAAGCCTCTCATCTCAAACAGAAAATAATTACCCTAGAAATCAGAAGCATATTTCTACTCTTTGGGATGCTTCAAATATTGTTTGTTAGACCTTTCTCTATAGGAAATACATGTAATACAACCTTGTCTGATGGAGAAGAGAAAATAAAGACTGATCACTTGACATTGATCTCATGGGACTGTTATGTGACAGTGGTAGATGACAAGAAGTTGAGTCTTTTATAGCATGAGAAATTTGCAGAATATCAAAATCTAGTCCAACAAATTGTAGTTAATCTAAGATATTGGAGGTTTTTTATTTGTCATTTAGTTGTAGAAGTTAAAGCTCTACCTGTTCAGCTGCTTCTGAATTTTGTTTCCTTGATACAAGTACAGTAATGCTGATGGTCAGTATTAACTTTTGGAATCTGACATCTTGATGTTTGTATTCACTGTTGTGTACTGCATGATTTATCAGTTCCTATTAGAGGGGTTAGATACAGATATGCATTTCCAGATTAGCAATCTATCAAGTTATAAAACACTGAATTATACTGATCTGTTGCATAGATATACCAAAGTGAAGATACTATTTTTTTTTCTCCTTTTCATGTGCTTTCAGGACAAAGCTCAAGCAAAACAAGCCATATTGGCTGAGCAAAATAGGACTTCACCTTTCCCCACTGGTGTCCTTACACCACCCCAAAGTAGTAAGAAACAGTCTTCTGGGTTGAAGCTGATATGACTTTAGAAGCTGTTGACAGACAATTTTGCTGAAGTGCCTGTTCTGCTGGTTCTAACTCCTGCTCCATTATAGAAATGCTGCCAGTGAAGTTCATAAGCTTTTATGGAATCTGTAAAGGAAACCCTACATTTTTTTTGTGACAGAAGAACTTTTCTATTTGAAATATTTTTATTGAACATTAAAATATTTTAAAGAAATGGATCAAGTACACCAGCCACTTAAAAGAACACCGAAGAGTGCTCCAAATGCTGCTATGGAGGGTGATGCTTGATGAGACCAACTGTTGAGAAAAAGGGCTTGAAGATAAGATTAGTTACTGTGCCTGGTTGTCCTTTGGATAATCTACAGTTATTCTGTCCCCTATTGACAAATGGGCAAAAAGTGCTGTGGAAGACATTTCCAAGCTCCTTTTTCAAATGGTTGGCTTACAACTTGATGCCTTTTTAAGAACCCTTTATTGTAAATGCTGCTATGTCTCTGTGTATCCATTTTTAATAAAAATGCTGTCTAAGACAGCTGGTTTTATGTATATTCCTATTTTCTTTAATTATGGTCAGCTAAGGTTTTTTAGACTGACCACTAGTAGTGTGGGAGTTGGGGATGAATTACGTAGTAACTATGGCTTTATTTATTTACCACTACTGGCTTATCAATTAAAACTTGTTTTTTGGATACTAAGATAAAACTGTCATGTTGGGCTACTTGGATTTCCCTTAGCCAGATGCAGGTGGCTAGGGAGGGGATAATAAACATGACAAGTATCTGAGGAATCCTTCCACAACACACTTTCTAATGATCAGTGTGTTGGGAAATTCTTGAATGAGACTGTCTGGATTGTTATGTTTAATAGCAAGAAGTGATTAGTAGGAGAAGCCTACCTTTTCTTGAAATAATCATTTAAACTTTGGTATTATGGCATAGTCTTTGTCAACTACTCGTCTTCTGTGCAAAATTGAACTCTGGAATGGTGTGTGCTGTTTTACAGGAAGAGTTTTCCTTGACCCTTGCAAGGTCTGAGAACATGAGAAGTCATAAGATGCTTTCTGAAAGGACATGGTTCTAGACAAAAGGGGTATAGAGAAATAAATTTTTTAAATGGCTGCCTTTTTATTGTGTTTACTTTGGAGGTTCAACAACACTGAACTTTTGTGAGACTACCAGGATTCATCATGTCCTGTAGATAAATGCTACAACACTTATTTCAGGAAGCTCCTACTCTGCTGTTGGTTAATTTTTCTAAACAATAGTTCCCAGCAAGGCTGCTTTTTTCTTCTATTTTTTTAAGTTATTCTCCCTTCTGCTCTTCCCTGACCCAGTATTCTGATAAATGTTAAAGTTTTAATGTAATAAAAATGCCTATGGTAACTAATGGTAAGCAAATTCTTTGCTGTTGCTATTTTTTTTTTCCCCCCTTGCAATAAATGGTTGTAAGTTCTGTGCAAACCAAACAAGTGTAAATGTTAGCTGAACATGTTTGCTGGTGCTTGTTCAGAGAGGTTTTAATTTCTGAGAACTACATAGCCTAGAATGTTATATTTGCCTATAATTGAAAATGTTTGTAACATTGGAGGAATTGTCAAGACACATTTTGGGACTTTGTCCTTAAATTTAGAACACAAAAAGGGAGGGCAATAACTCTCCTGAAGGGTAGTCTCTAGGCTTAATTTCTAAATTACCAGCCAAGACTGAGTACTAGTTCTTTACTGTTGTTTTCAGTGCTTTGATGAGTTTAATCTGTCTCTTTAAATTTTTTTTTTTTAAACTGCAACCAGCCTCATAAATGGGGATTGCATTGTCTTTGACTTTTAACTATTCAAGAAAATATTCTATAATAACATTACAGGTATGACAAACTCTCAGTTCAAGCTACATCTAACTTCCTCGTTAATACTTCCTCAAGAGTGAATGCAGGTGGGCCACACATTCTCAGCTGAGAGATGCGTAGTTATCTATGACTGAAACTGTTCAGATTGGGTCTCTGATTTAGATGGTCATCCTGCTAATGTTATACTGACACCCCAACACCACTACCCCCCCCAAAAAAAAAAAAAGGTTATTTGGCTGGGAAGCAGCCTGTTCACATTGTGGGGATCATGGCTTTGCAGCAACATGCCAGAGATAGGGTACTTTCCAGCAAGGGTGACTTACCTTAAGAGCTTTTTTCTGTCTTATGCTTTTAGAATCTTTGTTTCTGGTTGCCTTGCAACACATATGGATACTTCAGGTGGAAGGTGCTGTTGTTCTAGGGTACCTTGAAAAAATTACGCACTGGTTGCTACAGGCTGAAAATCATTTTACTGAGGAATGGTGCAGCTAATTTTAAGGAAAGGGGTTGTTTATTGAGGAGGAAAACAAACAAAAAACCCCCAAAACAAAATCAAGAGGGAATTCTCTCCATATTTCTTTGCCTGAGGGTACTATTCTTCTAAATTCTGTCTGGTCCTGGACCAATCTGGAGGCAGATTCATGGCAGGCAGGAAGAAACAAGTGGTCAGTTATGTCTGGCTAGATAAGAGAAAAAGGTTTCGTTTGTTATTACATTCCTGCAAACTGTCTCTGACTAAGCATGTTACCCTGAGAGCTGGGGCAGCTCCAGGGGAGGAGGGCCCTGGGGCAATGCACAAGGTGCCTGTTCCCGGTGCAGGTGTGCAGGGCAGGGGGCTCGATGGCACTGGGGAACCCCGAGAAAAGCAATTTAGCTGTGCATTGCTGCATGCTCCTCAACTGGAAAGTGTCTCCCTTTAATAGCTACAGACCAGCATAAAGCATCCTGCAAAGTAAATTGAATTCTGCAGTAATCCAGGTCGCAAATGATTGTCTTCCTCCTCCTGAAAGGTTCACCATAACTATCCATCAAAAGCTCTCCTTGGTCTGAAAGCTGGGGGCACCGGAGAAACTGAACAAGAGAAATTAAACCAGTGCTAATTTTGTATCACTTATACTACAGAACTGAAAGTTGCTTGTAGCTGTGACTGTTGAAGGGAATAGCCCCAAACGAGCGAGCTGGGGCTGGAGTTGTGCTCTGGGGTGGAGGAGCAGGGGTGCTGGTGAGCAGAAAGGATGAAGGTGCAGAGGCTGTGAGGCTGCCAGGTGCTAAGCTGTTGAAAATGCCGTCGTTCTCCAACAGTAGTTCGTGGAAGTGCTTCGCATGGCCTGTCCGTGTAAAGCAGTAGGGTGGTCTGCCTGTGGCGCTCTCGCTGTTCCTGGGTCTCGGGTCAGCATCTCCCCTCGGTTCTGAGGAACTGCAGCGCGAGGGGTTTGTTACAGCCCTGCTTGCGCGAGGCGCGGGTTCAGGGGAGTGCTTCCACCGGCGCTCGGCCAGGCATCCCCTGGGAGCTGCAGGCCCTGCCAGCCTTGTGGCCTGCCTCAAAGTTCTCAATCCCTGGGCGCTGTTTCCTTCACGCACAGCGCAGCTGGCTCACTCACGGCAGGAGCAGCCTGGATTCAGGCAGCTGGCTAAAATGTTCTTCCTTCAGCTAGGCTGTGAATTTGGACCTGGGTGGAGCATAGGAGGCTTACTGCAGCATCGCCTCTTGGTGGGGGAGGCATCGGGGAAGTTCAGCTTGGGAACAGCCGAAGCTACAGCTGGCTTTCTCCGTGGCAGAACGGCCAGTCGGGCGCTGCGAGGCGGCTTAGAGGCCGTTAGGAAATAGTCACGGGGCCGATGTGCAGCGCGGCGGGGAATTGGCAAGTGCGCGTGTTGACACTGGATGGACCCGCTTTATCTTGTTTGTTGGCATAAAATCTCCTATTTTGGGAACATGCTTCCTCTACACACTTAACAACATGCATTTAAAGTATCAGATTACACATACCCTCATCTTCAAAGCCTTCCTCCCCCACACCCCTCTGCCCTCGAAAAAAGGGAGACGCTAGTTTATCCTGTGAAATAATAGAGGTTAACTCAGACTTTACCTAGCCTTGAATTTGTTGGGGATTAAGCACAGCTCCTCCTGGTTGGCAAAGCTGAGGTCAGCTTGACCTGGGCTCTCGTAATCTCTCTGGAGAGATCTCCTGCTCAGACTTGGCATGTGAGTCGGGTGTTCGGCTCTGTCAGTCATGCCTGTGGCAGGAAGCAGCATGGCTCTTCCTTCTTCTTCTGGTCCTCCTGCCCTCACCCCGGCCAGCATCCCCTGTACCCCAGGGCACAGACATCGCAGGGTGGACTGACTGACAGGTTAGGGTGGGGGTTTTGTGTCTGTGAGATGGCAGGAGGTGATTGTTATACACAAATGCGAGAAGACTTTAATGTCTGTTTCTTGCCACTTGATTTCTAGCCAATTCCTGACATTTCTGCACTTTGAAGTTAGGACTCCCACAAAGCAGCCGCTTGGCTTGAGTTGTTGAACAGTAAGTATTTTGGTGATGGGCTCTTTCAGCCATGCTACCTGCAAAAAAAGTCACATTATATCTTATCTTTAAAGTACAAAACCTGTTTCTCTTCGTTTTTCAATTGTCTGCTACTGACACAACTTATGCTTAATCAAACATTTAATTAAGACTGCGGAATATTGTAATGCTATGTAATCTGTCTCCTTACAGTCTCTTGAAATAATCAGTTCATGCTAAGCACAAAAGGGTAAGTTTCTATATGAAGCTTTTAATTTCTGTTTATGGTGAAACTGAGATTATTTAAAAAAAAAAAAGTATTCTTTGTAGACTGAATAAAACCAGGGTTTTCAAAACTCTGCAGACTGGCATGTTTTAGGGCAAATTCGATCAAATAGCTATCAAGGAAGGAAGGAAAACCTTTCTGAGCCCGGGGGACTTTGGTCCTACAGCTGCTGGCAATTCAGAGGAGCAGACTGTCTATTGGAACTGCGTATCTGTTTGAAAACAGGTTTTGTTTCACTGAGTTGAACATGATCTCATCTAAATAGTAAGAAAGCAAATGTATTTTATAATGTACTGATGTTTCAGCAGGGCTGCAATAATATTCAAGGAGGAAAATTATGGAAGGCCTATTTCTTTTTGGATTAGGATATGTGATCACCTGAGATATAAGGAAAAATGATGTGCAGAGCCTCACCCTAACCTTCTCTTTGCCAGTGGACCCTGGCCAGGTAGACCTGTTGTTTCCCCTCCTAGGAATTTCAGTTAAATATCTGCTTGTTTGAACTGAAGAGACTGCTACTGACATGTAAGGGGGGTGAAAATCCCCTGCTCCTCAGTGTGAGAGTAAGGCCTTACTCTACAGACTGGTGCTTCTACTGGAAGACATCTCTACCAGCCTCTGCTCCTGGGATGGAGAAGAGCCTGCAGTCGCCCAAGACCTTTTCTTTATTTGAGGGGGAAGTATCTCCCTTATCAGCATGTTTTAGTGATGTGTTATGAGTCTCAAACGTTACATTTCTGACTTGGTCTTGGCTAGAGAAATAAGGGCTTAGTTGCTTTCTTAAATTTCCATGACCATTGGAAAGAGGAGGAGCTAGTGTGTTTACAGACAGTGGCTGTGGCAGGGAAACGGTCCTCTACATCTAAATGCACTTAATGTCTTTCCGGAAATACTGCAGTTTGTCTTCACTTTATTGGTTGTTTTGCTTTGTTTTGTTTTGTTTTTAAAAAGTATTCAGTCGCATATGTTAATAAACTTCTACGCTATAAAGGCAAAATCAAAGGATCAAATGTTTGGGTTTTTACAAATTGTGAAACTGAAATGATACTGGGTTTAATCATGAGCTCAAGAATATTCCAGACAGAAAAAAGCAACAAGCCTAAACATTTTCTGGAAAATCGTGCAGCTGAAGGCCACACCACAGCCATGACTTTCATGGTAATAAAAGCACATCTTGGTATGTTGTATTTTCTTCCATTGGAAGGAGATTCTTTTATTTTCAGTAGGGTCAGGGGTGCAAATAAGGATGAGAAATCCAGTAAAGCTGAGAGGGTGAGACTGCTGTTGGTTAGCATGAGCAGGCAGCACACACCTCTGGATCTAGGACTGTTGCTTTTTTTCTTAAATATGGATGGAAGAAGCTTCACATAGAACTAAAAATAAGTGGCTTGGATGGAAATTCGGCCTTCACTGCAAAGAGAGTAAAAATGTAATAAAGCTGTGTAGGACAGGGTTTGGGTTTCTTCCCTCACACAAGGCCAAAGAAGAAGTAGGGACATCTGTGATTTGCCAAGTTACTGTGTTCAGACTCCAGTTACATGAATTCACCTGTTGCGTGCCCTGCGTGTAACCAGGATAAATGGTTTGAGCATTCTTGGATTGAGTCCCAGAGTAATAGCATCAGACAGAAAAGAGGAATATGGTGCTTTATTTCATAATTCTGTGTAAGGTGTTTGGATTTTTTTTTTTTTTTTTTTGAGGAAGTACTGTACCAAGATGCCAGCCTCTGCAGCTCAACATCTCAGTTCAGTTTTTCTATATGTTAAGAATTATTGAGCATGACAAGAGTTAAAAGATAACTCTTTTTTTCCACCCCAATATTCACTTTCCAAGTGTTACCAGATAGTGTAATATTTGGACTGTACAGCTCACAGTGAGGTTTGGTTGTTACACTTCAGTTTAAGGTCGGTCTGAGAATAAACAGGTTGCTTTCTCACTTCAGCCAGATCTGCAAAATGTTGCTTTCTGAAGTTCGGAAAGTTGATATTTCTGGGCTCACAGGAGTCATCCCCTCTTACCTATGCCAGAATGATGATGATGTTATTCGGGCACAGTAGAGGTCAAGTGAAAACCTTTTTACATCTTGGTTTGAGAAGTCTGGTTGTCAGCCGCAGCCTTGTGAGAGCGGAGAAAAATGTTTTAATTTTGGCCAAAATCTTGCAGAATGAAGACTGCACTGAGGAAAGGTTAGCTGATCCTGCGTGGTTTTATTAGTATTCTGGGCTTCAGTCAGGAGATTAATAATGGCCACAGACAGTGTCTCTTCATATTAAAGTGTCTTCACATGAGTAGTTTGGGTGAGTGCAAAAGGACTGCAAGGCACAAGCAAGCTGTCTTGTCTCACCCCAACTGTCAATGAGTCAACACTTTAGTATAGAGACAGTTGGTAACAGTCATTAACATAACAAAGTGCCCTATAGATCACTCCAAATGCCTCTGACTGTTTTTAAGCAAATGTTATCCCCTGAGAAGTTGTAACAACAATTTGTTGAATGTTTCGCTGCCTGGGCCACCCTGTTCTGCTGGGAGTAGGAGAGGTGCTCCTGTGGGATGGCTGGTCCTGAAACCTCCTAATAGAGGATGGTATTTGCTTGGACAGTGTGATGATTTTTTTATTTTCTAGCCTGATTTCCTACCAAAACTGGACTATGGGGCTTTTCTGTGGTTTCACTCCCTCTCCTGCTCCCTGTCTGTTGGCTTGTTCCATTGAACAACTTGAGAAGATCGGAATTCTGTTAATACAGGGAAGAAAAAGGAGTCAGACAGGCTGCTGATCCTCCACGTGAAGGAGAGGCACAGGCTTGGCTGCCGTGCTCTGTGCTTGGCCAGACCCCTGACAAGTGACCGCAGGGGCTCTGTGCCGGCAGGATGAAAGATGGGAAGAGGGGACGAAGGAATTGGGGGTGTAGCACTGGCAGCCGTGGTGTACATCTGGCATTGATGGAGGATGAGTAGAGGCTGAGGGTAGCTCCAAGGAGGGAGGAAACACCATGCATGAGAGCAGGTCTGTTAGCCTGGTGCTCATGGAGAAATTTGCGTGAGTTCTTTATGTACCAGTGGTTGAACATACCAAGAAGCCATCGTGCCTCTGCCCAAAACAACCTGGTTTTGTCACTGCGGTAACTTGCATGTGCTCTCGAACTTTCTGGTAAGGCTTCTCCTACGGTTTCTGAGGGCTGCCTGCCCGCGGCAACCGGGCTGGAGTGTGCCAGGAGCTGCAGCGGGTTTGGAGCCTTCCGCTGCCAGGTGGACTTTGCTCCCCAGCAGCCCGCCTCAGCAGAAACCGCGTTTCCTGGCACTGGCGTAACGGAAAGGTTTGACCCCAGAGAAGGTAAATCCAGGAGTCTGGGACACGTTGCAGTCTGGGAGCTGCACGGCACCAAGGGTAAAAATACCAGAGCGACTGAGGCGGAGGGTAGTTTTGAGAGGCATCGCTTCATTGCTTATAATTGCCTACCTGACTCTGAGTGCTTACAGAGAGGTTCTCACCTCGAGGGCGGCTGCAGGCACCGGGTCTGGAATAGCTGTGTGTGTTTTGGGACCTGCTGCTCGTGAGCATGAGAGAGAAATCCCTGACTCTCTCCCAGCTGTTGGTGACAGAGAGAAACTGGAGGGCCCTCTTCCACCATGGCCGCGGTAACTGGGCCTGCTGGGCGGCCGTCCTTCTGGGGCGTGGGGGGAGCATGAATGCATCCCTTTGTGCAGGGCTGTGCTGGGGGCCGTGCACTCCTTCAGGGATGTGGAGGGCGAGCTGGAAGATGTCCGGACGGGACCTGGCTGGGAGAGGGGCCATGGAGATGGCGGGAGCAGCTCAGCGGCCCCACGCTCATTGACTTAATTGGGGCTGCGCGGCGGGGCTGAAGGAACGCAAGATGGCCGGGATTCTCACGGCGTGGGGAGGCTCACCGGCAACGGCCAGCACCCGGACAAATCATTAATGTCAATTAAGTACAGAATGTGTGGATTACTGACATGTTATTGTTAGGGCTCTAAAGGAAATATAATTAATAAAACTCCGCCACCCACACCAAGAGGCAGCCCTTTGTGTTCCCTGTGCCTTCCCCTGCCGGCAATGTCTATCTCCTTCCGCAGCCCCACACTCCTTTCAGCAGCCTCGGACAGCATTAACATTTGAATTAACATAAAATCACTTCTGAAATCTGTTAACATTTATAATGTTGCTGTACTTTGCCTGATCATTGCATTTTTTCTGTCGGTTTGAGCTCGGTGAGTTTTTTTCAAGTGATACCAAACATGGACCTATTATGCTGCAAAAATCGCATATTTGTTTAATGATTTCCCATTGGTATCTTTGTTGCTATGAACCAAAGCATTAAATAGAAGCTAGCACGTTAACGCTGTGTTGTTCTACATAATAAATTTGAATATTCCCCGATGAATATTTTTAACAGGGATTTTCTGAATAAAATCCATATGTGCCAGGGTATTAGTAATTACTTAAAATCGGTTTTTGACATTTAACGTTGACATCTAAAATATTTCCTTTAATTTTTGGTTGCCTCTGCAAACAGAAACGATGGCATTCGTCCTAGGGAAGGCTGGGTGGACAAATAACACTTTTACTCATAATGAAATGAAAGGCAATAAAGAAAATGTGCTAAATGTCAACAGTAAAGCATATCTTCTCTTCACGTATTATGAGGAGAATATACCCCAAAATGTTCACACACACAGAAAAGTCCTTTAAGTGACTTAATATGTTTGAATATTAATGGTTTGAATGTTAATCCATTGCAATGGTTCCATTTTTTGAAAATTGGCTATTTAAATACATTATTACCTCAATAAATTCTCTATGGTCACTGTGGTAGCCATAGTATGAAAAATAATCATCATAAATCTGAATTTACAAAATATCTCCAAGATTGCACAGTTTTGCTGAGAGAAACAAAATATGAAGTATATATTATTTAACTCAATATATTTTGTCCTTGCAGAAGTTGCTTGTCTAAAAAACCAGCAGATGGAGTCTGTTGGAGGACACGAGTGTCTGGCAGGAGCCTAGGAATCCAGCTCAATTTCATAAGCGAGTGATGACGGAAAACCTTTACCATGTGAGATGCAGTCTGGAAACCTCTGCTAAAGAAGTTGGTTGAAGCTGAAGCATCTGTGTTTGCAGAAAGCAATTTGTTGGGAACCCAGGTGAGTCGCTATGGGATCCTGTGCCCCTGGTAGAAGGGATTTGGCCAGGACCAGTCAAAGATGGCTTGTACCATCACTGCCTCCTTCTGCTGGATGGTGGAGAAACCAACAGGCTTTGGTTTCAGCACAGCAAACTGGTATTTTTCAGTGTTAGTGTATTTTCATTAAACTGCACAGCGGTGCAAGAGCAAGGACGTCCAGTGGGGTGCAAAGAAGTGTACTCTGATGCAGCAGCTGCCTTGCACCCTGTGGAAGCTGTAGCCTTGCTGGGCGAGCATCGTGGCCATGGTTTGAGGGTGTGGGAGGCCCCCGGGAGCTGCCCCGTGGCACAGCCACACTGCAGGGCAAAGCCATGGCGTGGTCTGAAGGGAAAACGAATGTCACACTCTTATCTTTCTGCACAAGATCCTGTTCAACACTGTAGCATATACCTAAAGGCAGGGTGTGATGTTTCGTGTTGGAGAGCGTCTCCATGGACACCCAGGTGCAGGAGAGGCTAGGGCAGAGCCCGTGTGCGAGGCTAGTGCGTGCCCTCCGGTGGGGTGGGAAAACCCCTTACCCCTTCTCTTTTAGTTTTTACAACTTGCTTGTTAAAATAATCATGAGGAAAATCATGAAGCATCTCCACACTTCTGCATTCTTGAGTGTGTCTCATTATGCACAAACACATGTCTTTGTCCCTGAATTTCCTGGGGTTTTTAACAGGGAGAGGGTTGTTATTTGCAAGTGTCAGTGGTTGCTGGGATGTTCCAGTGGATTCCCAGTGGATGCTGGGAGGGGAGAAGTTACTGTGGTTTCTGAATGCTCCCCTGACACTTTGCCATAGCAGAAGCAGGGCTGTGATCAGGTGCTCTGCAAAAAGTAGCAGCCAGCAGGGCCTGCAGGAGAATCATGGGCATCGCTCTGTCCCAGAACTGTGGCGCTTGGGGGCTTACGTGGTAATAACAGTAATTTTAAGCAGAAGAGGGAAGACTGCTCCACTTCTGACTTTTTCTGTTCCCAAGACATCTATTTCTCATCATTTTCAGCTCATGCCCCCTCATGACACCTCTCATCCGTGCCTGAAGATCTTTGTGCAGGTATCTGTCTGGGGATGTTACCTGCTTTTTAATTTATTTGGCTATATTGTCACTCAGCTGATGGTGTTTAACAAAAGTAGGCATCAGCAAGGCAAAATCTGAGAAGGCTGAAAAAATACTGACCCATGTAAATCAATAAGAAGTTTTGCCATTATTCTCTTCTCTTTCGCTTGAACTCTTATGACCAGAGTAACCTGTGCATGCTGACTTAGATAAACGATGTACCCAGGCAGTTCAGCCACACGTGTTGTGCAAGGACAAGGAAAGAAACCAAATGACTCTTGAGTTCTTCACAAGCCCCAAGAATGGGGACATCAAAGGAGCGTGCCCAGGCAAGCGCAGTGCAGACACTCCCTTTCGCAGGGTTCAGAGTCCTGACCCATGTACACAGGGACTGATTCTGGGGTTCCCTCACCTAGCTCAGAGTCAGGCGGCTCTGCAGGTTTAGGAATATAGAAATGGGATTAGCTTCACTGCTAAATCCTCAAAAAGATGAGCACCCTAACTATGAATTGCAGCCTTTGCTTTCATATCTGCAGCTGAGTTTGACATGTGTGGCTGCAGCTGGCCCTACCTCTACAGTGTTATTTGATAAATCTGATTGATGAGGGTTTTTTAATTCCTCTCAATCTCTTTAAATTAAAAAAAAAAAAAAGGAGAGAGAGAAGTTGAAAAGAACTGTAATTGCAAGCGAGCACTATAGAAACCTGCAGCCAGCAGGCATGCTTCAAAGGAAACAGGGCCAGCCTGGACCCTTTAGTTGCTGGCTAGTGAGGGCTTCAGATGTGCCTGCATGGTGACTGTGGTTTAATTTTGATCCACACCAAAAGAGCTTAATTGGAAGATACTGGGGGGTTGATGCATGCAGTCTCTTCCATTTGGTGAGAGGAGGCTGTTGTTAGAGCAAACACTGGAGGTGGTCTCTAGCGTGATGGGGTGGGTGTCCTGGCAGCAGGGAGCTGGCTGCCAGACTCCCCCAGTGCAGGCAGGTGCAGCCCTGCCTCCTCTCCTGCACACAGACCTGTGGTTTGTGTTTGGTCCATAACAAGGAAAAATTTTCTCCTTGAGGAGCAAGAGACCTGCTTGGTGCATATAAAGCCCCGATGCTTACAGAGCAGCCTGGCTGGGCGTGGGGCTGGAAGCCCACCTCTCTCGGGTCCTTGTGCACAGCCCATGTGCTCTGACCATCCTGGGCAGCAGTCAGGGACACGGCTCTCCTCTGCGCTTGCACGTGAGTAAATTCTCTCTGCCCTTGTGTGCACTCTCACAGTGATGCGGCTGCTGCCTGGGCTTCTGGGCACACACAGCCAGCTGCCTGCATGCTCTCCTGATGCTGCCTGGCCACATCAGCCCCCATCCCATCCCATCCCATCCCATCCCATCCCATCCCATCCCATCCCGTTCCTGCATGCCCCAAGGAACAGGGTGCAGAGAGCAGCAGCCTTTCTCTGCTTTCCCACCACCTTCCCTGGCACGCTGCCCTGTGTAGCGAGCAAATTAAGCAACTAATTTTCATTAGTGTCAATGCATCTTGCACCTAACTCTAAACTACCAATTAAAGTTATCGATTCTGATCAGAAAAAGTACTAAATTCCAGCTGGAACTGAAAAAGCAGGTACTAAACTTATGGAGACAATCTGTTTTGGAGAGAAGCTGCAAACTAAAGCAACTGAGACCATCTTTGTATCTTTACAAACACTAATCCTCAGAATGTGGGTGTGGACCAACTCCTGTGTGTTTGGAGTCTTTTCATTTCATCCTACTGGGACAGATTTGAGCTGTGAATTGTTGCCCTTGAATATCTATCTCCGCAGACACAAGCTGATTTTTTTGCTTCAGCTGATTAAGTCTATAGGATGATTAATCACTGTGTAAAGATAATTTTGTGTTTATGGGTTTGGACATGAGAATTTATCCCTTTATTTTCCGATCCTGCAAACACAGACAGTAGCAAAGGGTTATTGTTTTTCGCTTACTTCTGCTGCGGATTCTCATGTGGCTTTTCTCAGCCTGCTCACTGAATTTGGTGCTTAGCTCGTAGTGCCTCCACAAGGCATTATCAGTCCATATATCCATGCTCTGGAAAAGGTATTTAACATTTTTCTGTTCTAATTTAATCTCACTGGAGGTTGCATCCAGACAGTCATTGATTGTTAGGATAATTCATCCCGGAATATACAAAAAAGATGCTTCATCCTCTGTTACTCGATCTGAGTTGATCCAAGAGGCATGACCGTCTGCATTCCTCTGCAGCAGGAGCGACCTGTGTCTGCTCGATGCATAGCAGTAGTTTAAAAAGCTAATGGTATGTTTGAACTAAGAGTGAGAGAGAATATGAAAGAATATTATAATTGTGCATAACAGAAATTTCTATAATTAAAAATGGAATTCTCTGGCATTGGAGCAGAAATAGCAATTTTCTACCCAGTGAAGCTCCAAATTATTTAGAGGGAATTAGATGTATTCTCCTGGACTGTGATCACTCTGAAAGATTTTTTGATACTAAACTGTATCTGAATATTGGAAAGAGCAAGCTGTGTTGTCCTCTCACCTGCTGCTAGCTTGGAAGTGGAAACATCAGAGACAAAAGTGTCATAACTTTTGGGTTTGTTACATCGTTATGTTCTTTCTTCACCTGATTAGAACGTGGGAAATACCTTTTATAAACACCATGTATTCTCATGCACACATTTTTTCACTGTGTTTGAGCCAAGATGGCAATTGATTTTGTATGCGGTGGGATCCCGAGAAGCTACTTTTATGGGTTAGTAGTTGAAAGGTGTGGGAGGTTCCTGCTACGGGACAGACAGCTCTGTGTGAACAGGGACCTGCAGAGCAGGCTGAGCCTTTGTGAGTGAGACACGGGTGTGTCCAGGAGCTGTGCGACCCGGGGATTCCCAGGTGTGCCATCTCACATTTCCTCCAATGCAGTGACAAAACTGATTTTTTTTTTTTTTTTTTTTTTTTTTTTTTTTTCCCTCCTATTTGTTTACAATCAGCTTGTGCTGCAATCAACCGTTTCAGCATAACCCCCAGTATGTTTCTGACTTTCCTAAACCTGATCTTCTGCATGCTGGAAGGCTGCCTTAGATGGACTCTGGAGATAACAGCAGCGAAATATTCGGGATATGTGTTAGCACTGGCACTAGGCTGCCCTCTAGTTTTATTTCCCCGGCAGTTCGCTCCAGGCTGTTGCCATCTAGCGCCCAGGTTTTTCCGTGCAGTCCTTCCGTGCGTCGTCCAGGCTGGGAGCCTCCTGTGGTCTCAAGTGTCAGCCCTAGGGTAAACTACATTTGTGTGACTTATTTTACTGAATGGGAGAAAAATTCAAGTAAGCGCTCGCTTGGGAAAATATCCTGGCAGGCTGGCTCTAGCCTGGTCCCATTGGCACAGGGTGCTGGCGTAGCTCCCCTGGGCACGGCTAAGCATCCTTTGGAAGGGTGGGGGGGACCGGCTCCTCTGGCTGAGCCTGGCTATGGCGTGTTCGGTGTAAATCATAAGAAAGCGATCGGTGTTTGCCTCCATTAGCTCCGATATAAATATTGCTGCTCTGCCCTCGCTATTGACAGTGAGCGTTTTCTGCTCGGCAGCCCAGTGCCAGGCGCTGACAAGCTGTTTCAGTACAGAGGCTGCCTGACCCGGCCTCTGACTTGGTGCTGTGGAGAAGAAGGTTGAGTCTGTGCTTAATGTACTGGGCGGGCACCCAGGGGAGCCTCTGCAATTCCCAGTTCTGCCACAAACTTCTACTGTGACCTGGGATAAATCATTTAATCTCTCTGCAGCAACTCCCCTTTTGGGGAGAGAGGTGGGAGAAGCAATAATAGCTTCCTTTGTCTTGTCAGCTTTAGGGCTGTATTTTTAATAAATCAGACATCTTCTATTTAAAGGGCTGCCTTTCTAAAACAGGTCTGTTTTTACCTGGCACTTAAGACTTAAACCCATACCTGACAAGGGCTTGCACCTAAGTTGGAGTATTAGAGCTTCACCGTGACGCAGCAGGTGATAAAGCACAGTGCTGCAAGAGCCTGTCTCTGCTTCTGGTCCCTCCGCCTCTCCCTTCGCTGGCTCTGCCCTGCTTTTCCCAAGGAATCTCTCCAGATGTCCCCTGATGTCTGTGTTAAAGAAAGAGACAGCCAAATGCTGCCCTACCTAGCAGCATGGGGAGGTCAGGCGAGGGAACATATTTTACTTGCAGAGCTGACATAATTGTTTAAAGCAAACAGACAGCTCAACATTTTTGCTAACTTACAAAATCTGGCATCTCGGAAGAACGTGTTTGGACTCAGCAAGGCCATTTACACAGGCAAAGCATTGTCATTAATCTGCATGTTTGGCATTGCTGCTGGATAGCCTCCTTTTTGCTTTGAATGAGATGTATATTCATGGACTGAAAGTTGCCTGGTTTTGTTTTTATGCCGGCCGCATGGTTTTGATGGGGTGGGATCTCCGCGCACAGGCGCTCGGCTCTCCCAGCTGCACCGGCACAAAAGCTCCGGTCACTGCTGCTGGATTGTCAAGCAGAGTGCGAGCTGTGATTGTATCGAGGCCAATGCAATCATATCACCTGCCAGTCTGGGGAAAAATAGGGTCTAAATAAGATGACGAGTGAACGATGTGGTCAGAATTAAAAGGATAAACAGCATCTTTCCTTTAACAAGCTCTGTTTAACTGTGAGAAGCCCACACATGCTTTATCTGTATTCTGACCAGCGAGGAGCCTTACCCAGACTTCATACAACAATTCATCACGGCTGATTTGTGCAAGGCATATTTGAGATGTAAGATGTGTGACTCAACCTCTTTTATTCCCTCATTAATTTTCTTTTCTGCCTGAAATGGGTTTTTAGAGTGCTCATCACCAGAGTATGAGCACTGGTGAAAATGGGGTGTCAGGATTTCTGGTCTTATCGTTGTCACTGTGGTTGGATAAGCGGGCAGATGTAGAAACACCCAGGCTAGGCAGGTTAGGTGTCCTGAGTCACCAGCATCTACTCCTACCCGTGACTGTTCCCACGCTCCTGCAAATCTGGTCATAAGGGCTGATCATTGCCGCATCATTGACAGCATTTCTAAGAAAATTGGTGGCTGAACAATTGAAGTCTTTAGCTCACGCTGATACTCTTGAAGACCTCACCTGAACGTGCTTGAAGATCTGGTTTATTTGGTCAACTTACATGCACATCTGCTGAACTGTGTATCTCATGCAGATTTGCTTTTCTGCCCTGTTTCTTCTCTCCCTTTCAACACTTCTATACATGCTTCTCAATGTGTCTTTGTATTGTGTGTTTTATGTATCTTTCTGCTGTGATACGTATTAACTACTCAGACTCCCAAGGGCCTCAGAAGATGAATGGCTTTATCTATAAGATTCCAGTAATAATCCATTTGTGTATGAAATGTGCTCTTCAGTATTAGTGCATTGCAGAGGGTTGGCATTATCTGATAGCTGCAGAGGAGGCTGTGGGCAGCAACTGTGTTCTGAGCTGCGCCTCGGGCTCTCCTGATAACTCCTGACAAGTCACTTAAATTCTTTGCAGTTCACTGTATCGAAAGGCAGACATCGCTCAGCTGCACGGGGTGCTGCATGGCTTCCTGAGCTAACACCTGCAAAGCACCCCAACCCTTGGGGAAGTGCAACCAGTAAGCACTTACACTCCAAGCAGTCAATACAGGCACCTTCCCAGGAGATGTGGTGGTGGAGGTGTGAGTAAGAGGGCTCAGTGACACCAAGCACGCTACGTGGGGGTGTTAGAGAAGAGCCCCCTTCATTCGCCCTCCTGCAAATCCCTACCTCTGATGGAACTGGGCTTTTCCAGACATTTCAGGTAATGCATGTAGCAGCATGGCAGCTCACTCTAGCATGCAGTGGTATTCTTAAAGTATTGTCCACTTGCTTCTGATTTAATTTCAGATGATCTTAGTCCAGGCAAAAAACCACAGTCTGTGCCAATCAAGAAGTATAGATCACGCAGTAAGTACAGTTCAAAAGCTGCATTACCCTTATCTATTAGTAATGATCAATTAGCATGAAGGTCAGTGGGCATCTTGGAAATGAGTCAGATAAGAAGGGCAGAAGGAGGATTTGAATGGAAAGGAAATTCTTGATTCATATTCGGTGTTTAAAGTCATAACTCTGTAACAGTGGGGGCGGAGGGTAGCGTTAAGTAGTCCTGCTGTCACACTGACTCAACCAGAGTGTAAATCACGGTGGAGAGAGTGCTGTGTTTTTTTCCTGTTGCTAAAGCAGTATATTGTACCACAGAAGGGATTGCAAGTTCCAAGAAGTACTTGTGTCCTCCAGCCCACGCTGAAAATCTCTGGCCAGATTGACCCCCCTGGCATGGCACAGCGCCACAGGGCTGGTGGCTGCTGTCAGTGCCACCAAAAGCTTAAAATTCTGGTCCTTGGCTTGCACCAATGTGAGTGGGATCAGTGGTGAAGGGCAGTGTAGGACAGAGGGAGGGAGCCTCCATGGTCTCCTGAGCATCATCTGGGCAGGAGGTACCGTTCAACACCGTGTTAATGTTTTAGGGGGAAGAAGAGAAGATGACTTGTCACGAACTAATTGACTTGCAAATTTTGCACAGATGATCCAAGTGTGCCACATCAAACAGTAATTTGCCCTTCCCAGTGTGTACCTGCACTCTGAGATAAGTAAGAAGGTATTAAAGAACATTGCTGAGAGTTATATGTGCACACCCGGGGTAGTGTGGGACTCTCAACATGAGCATGTGCTGGAGTCTGGCTCCTGTTGCGAGCTGTTGCAGTTCAGGCAGAGATGACAGGGCACATAGTTGTGGTAGGCAGCATCACAATGCATTGCCAAAATGCTGTCTTTACCCTGTCAGCTACTTTAAGTAAGTGTGCTCAGAATTATTTTATCTTTACCTGAGTCTCCTTCTGTGAAAGCAGCTGGCAAGCTGGGTGAGAGGTGGGTGTTTTGGTGTAACACCCCATCTGAAGGAGAGGAGCTGGACGGCCATGCCTGGCGGGACAGCGGGGTGCTTCTCCTTGTTTCCCATGGTGGCTGCAGGGAGAGCAGTGCTGTGTGTGCCGGCCATGGCTGGGGCCGTGCTGTGGGCAGCCCTGGTGCAGTGGCCACTGCCACCTTGGGAGGGGACCTGGCCCCAGGCACGGGAGCTTCCTTGGAAGATTCATCGAAGTTGTTCCTGCATATAAGAGCTCATGTTTGAGGCAGATTCTCTGGCTTAAAACAGACAAGCAAACTGTGGTGCTTGCCACAAATTTCAGACAGTATGATACAATCTTTCTTGTTTTCTCAAGTTTATGTATCCCAGGTTTTCACTGTTGCTGTGGGGCAGGTTGGTGGATGGGTGAAAATAAATCTGTCACTTTTCGGTGTGTGAAGTTTATTTCTGCTTATTTCTCCCACGCATACATACATATATGCACACACGCTGAGGCTTAACAAAACACTTCACCTCCTCCCGCACTGGGTGTGTGAAGGAATACACGTGCACTGTGCTTCCAGCTTCTGTTCCTGAAATACCATATGTTCTGGCCTGCGAGCTTAAAATATCCCGACGAAGCAATGTTTTAAAGCATGAGAGCGCTACATGCAGGGTTTCTTCTCCATTCTCTGGAGGCTAATTAATCCCCTTAAAATAGAGACCTAGTAGTGAAATAGGTGCTCTTGGTACCAAGCAACTGCACTGCCTGTTGAAGATGATGAAAGGTAAGTACAAAAGAGAATAGGTAGGGGTAGGTTAAAACCGGTGTTCCTGCCTCTGACAGTTTACTTTGATGAATGCACTCATTCACTCAGCTTCACCATTTGGATCCTGCATAATCAGAGATAACAGGCGGATGGTTTGCATGAATAACTAAGTTTGTCATGTTTAATTTTCTTTAAAAAAAGAAACAGCAGTTGCTTTACCCTCATCCTTCAGGCCCAATACATATTTATAAATTGTCAGGAAATGAAAAGCCTTTTAACGGCACGCAACAAGCATGCAAAGCTACCAGAAGAAATAACTGGGAGAGCAGTGAGTGCAGGGAGCAGAGCAGCCCGCCTGCAGCTCGAGCAGGCTCACCTCGCTTTGGCTGGGAAGGTGGTGTGGGCAGAGGATGCCAAGCAGGTTGTCTGAATTATTAGGATGTGTGGCACTGATACTTGTTTTGTGTTCTGCAGACAGTGTCTTCTGATAACTTGATATTGTGCAGCAAGAAGCATTGAAACTGAAAATAAACCTGCATTTGGCAGTTAGCTGGTAATTCAGTGACTGTCTGTGCTGCGTAATATTTGATAGGGTGCTTGCTTTGTAGTGCCTATCCCATCACTGACAATTTCTTAAAACATACAGAAGGTGCAGCTGGAGTCTGCATGGAGCAAAATGGTGGAGGAATGTCTCCTGCAGAGCGCTGCTCCTGGCAGCCACGTCGTCCCATCCGAAGCTGGTCCCAGCTGCAGCAGGAGCTGCATGTGCTGGAAACACGAAGGTGAAAGGACTGATTTGCTCCTAAGATGTCTTTGATCCAGGACCTGCCCTTCCCAGTCTGTGCCAGGCATAGGTGCAGGCATTATGGCTGCTATTGAACACTGCTAATGTTGCAATTAAAAAAAAATCCAGTCTCTTTATTGAGCAAATGATTTCTGCAGAGAATAGTGTGATATATTAAAATGTCTGTGTAGAAAGCTCCCAAGGGAGATATTCAGAAGAAGAAAGATTGGATCACTAAAACTGAGAGAGAAACCAGGAGTCGCTAATGTGAGGCTGAAGGAAGAAGACCAAATCTAGTTAGAGAGTCTTCTAACCAGCATGGCTTTTTTCATAATCATCCTATCAAGATGATCTTTGCAATAGGCGACCTCTGACTTCAATACCAATATATATGTCACTAGACACAAATCCCTCAAGAACTAACTCAATGATATTTCAAGTAAAAACTACTAGGCAGAAGTGCAATCTGATTATCAGCATGTATGCAGCCTGGGAGGCACAGAAGATCTATGAATGCTGAAGCCAGGGAGAAGTGCAGGGCAGGAGCACGCTGAGCCCCACGCAGCGGTCCTGCTGCCACCGCCCCTCCAGAAGTCCCACTGATGGCATGTGGCATGTTACAGCAGATCCCCACAGAAAAGGAATCTTCGGCTGATTCGGGATCCCCTTGCTGGGTTTTAATTTGACTTTAGTGTCATTTAAAATGATCTCAGAGTTGCTTTAAATTACAACCAGTTTACTACAACCAGTTAATTACAACCTGAAAAGCCCTGGGTTGCTGGCAGGGTGGCTGCGGGGATCGCCTGCCCTCGCTGGGGGGCCAGAGCCACTCGGGCACTGCCTGTGCAGGCTGCTGAAAGGAACTGCAAATGTGAACTTGAGTGCAGTATTCGGATTTAATGGTAAAAATGATAAATCTTACCAAAAATATCACTGAGATGAAAAGTATGAAGTGTTTGCCACTAGTAGTCATCTGGGGAATAGAGAATAATGAAATTGCAAATTCAAAACCACAAGGGCCTGTAAAACATTGTTTCCCTGCTAAAAATATCTTGCAGAAAAATCTTTAAAGCATCCGTCCCCCTCTTTTTTACAGACCTTGCTTCGTCCAAGTGCTTATGCACGTGCTTAGCTTTCAGCGTGCGAGCCGCTCTGCGGATGCCATCAGACGAGCACGGCTTTAGAGCACCGGCATGTGGTACCGTTTGGCTGGATCAGCCCGTGGCGAATGCTTGTGGGAATCTATCAGAGGGTGGGTGTGCAGGGCCTGATTCTCATTTACGCCGAGGCGGCTGTCCACAGCTTCCCAGGCAAGCGGGGCTCTTGCAGGGAGCATAAGTGTGTGTGAACGCTAAACCATGTAATTAATTTAAAATCCCCTGAAGTTAACCCAAAATAGTCCCATATAGACATCATGCGGCTGGGAGACCACAGGCATCCGAGTGCCGTACCTTCATCCTGCCCTGAAAAGGTGCCGGGAGGCGTCCGATGGCCATGGTGGGGCTCCCCCTCATCGCTGCCTTCCCGCCCCAGCCGCTGCCCCATACATCACCCGAGGGGCTGCATCCCACCCCTCTGCTCTGAGCATCTCATCTGCTGTCTGGATTGGAGAGCTTGGTCTCAAACAGAGACATTAACATTTCCGTTAATAGGGATCTCTGTGTTGCTACATAGTCTGAATTGGCCTCTATTACTTATTAATGAAGATCCAAAAGTGCATGTACTTAAGACCTTGCTTAGCTAAGGGGAGTCTTCTAGGGCCAATTTGAGTCCTATTTAATGACTAATGGCTATTGAGACATAATGTCCACTAAGCAGATATCACATCCTATTTAGTATTTAATGTTTAAATATTTAATTAATTAAACACTGCCAAATATTTAATTAAACGCCATCAGAGCCATCCTGACACTTCCGCTATGCATAATGCAAAGGAAATCAGGGCTTTCCTTATCAGCCCCACAAGTAATACAGACTCAGCCTTACCCAGAAATAGCTGGGGTCTGCATAGCCAAAATACCTGCAATCACACACAATAGAGAGGGCTTTTTTTTTAAACCCTTTTTTTTTTTTTTCAAAATGAGCTGAGCTAAATGTTCTGTTAGTAAATCAGGCTCTGAAGTGACACACAGGCAGAGCAGTGGATATGCCGCACTGCAACAAGAATGCTATGCTTGTATATTGACTTTTAATTATTTAAAAGTAAATGACTGCTACTTAGCATGGCATACCTGCCAGCAGTTTACACTAGTTTTGCTTAAATATTTACTCTGCTATTCAATAAAAAATGAGTCTACTGAAGCAAAAAATGAGAACCTGCCGTATCATGTGGTCCCTCTCCTACCTGTGGCCTGCCAACTTCACAAAGATTTATTCACAGAGAGATGCTAGATTTTGATGGTTTTCCTGGACTAAGCCAAAGTACAGGTTTAAATTATCGAGTTAGACTTCCAGCTACAAACTGGGTCATAATTATCAGCTTTTGACATTCGGTTTCATATTTACTTATGGAAACTTGGCACTTAGAAATATAAAGATATTTAAATCCCAGTTGCAAAATCTGGACACCCAGCAGGTACAGAAACATTTAGGGCTGAACTGCTTATTTTAATATTTTATTAGCAAGCTCCATCATCTGATGCATGCTGAAGCTGCTAGGTGGTGTTTCATCACTCCCAGCCTGTGTGGGGATGTCTTATTTTAATGTTCCCACATGGGATCTCTCGCTAACAAGGAATGTGGCTACCAGTTGGAGAAACCATTAAAGTCACATAATTTTTATGCTTGGATTTAAGCCATTTATTAATGAAACGAAGATACATATTTTGGGCTTTCTTTAGAGGATCTTACACAATCTTACTGGCTCCTTCAGCCAAATTATCTTTCACTGTAAAGAGCTGATGCTCTGGTTGCTCAAATTGGGTTTTACTTATATAAACAGGCAAAAAAAAAAAAATTGGACTCACACTGTAAAAAGCCTCTATTGTTAGGACCTTTATCTCTCAAGTTCAGTGATGCTTCACTTTGTCCGTTTGCATTTATTGAGCAATCAGTTGCCTGAATGGCCAGGAGTTTGACTACATCTATAGGCTGCTGGGTTGTTTTGCATTTTCATGTTCTTCTGCCCACCCAAGCAATAACCTCAAACTATATTAATTCCTTTCACTTCTCTGCTCCTTACAGTCTTTTAAACAAAGGTATATTGCCACCCAAGGTGGGAGAAAAATGCCATCGTGTCCATGCTTTGCCCAAAAGTAAATGCTAAAACTGAGCAAGATGGAGGACTCATCCACCTCATTTAATATAACAGACATTTGATGGTTGATGTAGGTCGTATCTTTTAATTAACTTTTGCTTTAGACTCATATGTATACATGTAACCCCCCCATAACTCATTTAAAGCGAATAGTGGTCTGTGTATTGGAGATGCAAAGGTGGCAGGGGACTGGAAGTTGTCAGCAGAAAAGTGAAGGACAGGGACAGTGGGATGCTTGGGTCTTTGCGCTTGGTCCTTGCCGCCAGCGCTGTAGGCTCCCAGAGGCTGGGTGGGACAGGTGACGGAGAGAGCACCCACTACGGTGAGAAAGCTGGGCTCTTCGGAGAGGAGCTTCCCTGGCAAAGCCGGGGGCTAGGAGCACTGTGCCAGTGTGGCGTGCACCCGCTGCGCTCACCGCAGTT